AATCCACCCATGTCTGTAGGGCGAAAGATTGTGATTAATTACGGCTCCTTATGGTCTAGTGGAATGTCATGGACTAATGGTATTGATGCTCATTTATAGTATAATGTACCTCATTAAATCGTGTTTAGAATGCTGAATTGGTTTCACTTCATACAGAGTAATCCTATCACAAGCAAATTGGAAATTTCGATACAAATGAAGCCTTCTCAAGACCCTATAAAATCTACAAAAATGGGCCGAAATAGCTTCGAGAAAAAAGAGAAAGCCATTTATGTATCAGAATACTGTTTTCAGCACTATATTTTATATCTGCACATAATCCCATACTTTCAGCGTCTTTCTGAACCACATTTAATTACACAGTTCTTCATCCATCAATGCCTTGTTTACACTTATTTTCTCTAACATATTAGAATGCCCGTGCTTCATGTAACGAACTGTTACTTGAGAATAAATTGTTATAATTACTACTACTACAGGTTCGTATTAGGTCACGCCTGTCCGTGTTTGTTGTATGTTTGCTCAGAGCGTATAAAATGTGCATCAGTCGAACTAAAAAAGGGAAGCATATGACTCCAACGAAAGGAACCGTATTAATCCCCAACGGTATATTCAAACTGACGAAAAAGAATCAACACGCGGATATGAGAGCCAGAACGTCAGCTCACAGACCAATGCAATTGCTGATTGTTGTTAATACCCCAGTATCCGGTAATAAAAAGTAACGGTGGGTGAGTTTTGGGCAGGGAAAAGACAACATTATAGCTCTCAAAAGTATGAAGATGAGGGACAAAGACGATTGACAAAACTCCCTGATTTCACTTTGCCTTCCAGTTACGGAGAGTAGGAAATCAGAAAAGAGGGCAGGGAGTGAATAAAAAGGTGGGTAAATACTGGACAGTGCTGAAAAACCCTACTACTATGGCCAAAACATTCCATCCCTATAAATAACAAAGCGTAGCATAAGACAGACTTACTCCATTGAGTGTAATTTTAGGCTTAGCACACGATTCAGAAGAAAACTCACGGACATTTTTGAGACTATCCGTTAAGTAATCCTCTCAAATGCAAGTTAGACACGTGGAACTGTGGGTTGTCAAAGATCTCGCTAGATCGTCAATCATACAAGAATTAAGCAGTGAAGCGGTTTAAAGAGCACCTAAACAAGTGGTTGGTATTTGTGATAAAGTTCGCGAATACGATATGCAACAGCAGCGTTAGCCATCACGTAGCACATGTCTTCACACCACTGCTATAATTGGCGTGTCCATACTACCTCGTTTGTTACACCACACGGCCATTGAGTCTTCGTACTTGATTCCTGTGAATTACAGAAACCAAGGGAGCCTAATCGAAGTAATTCAGACATTGTACAGCACGAAAAATACCCTCCGCAGTAACATCACATATTGTGAGAATCAATCTATATCGGTAGGGCGAAGGCAGAAATGCCCAGTAAAATACACTTCTATATCGGTTCACTTTAATCAACATATCACAGTGCATCGCACGAAGGCCACGGTCCCGTTAGAGGAACACTCTATACAGATACGAAACCTACAGGGACCAGTCCCTACGGAACTGGCCAGCCCTGTTTAGACAACGATCTCTTCAAATAGCAGGAGGCAGATTCTGATGTAGGAGAGAACGAAGTGATGAGACAAACCATCATGTGCCTATATGGCAGCGTAAGAGAACCAGGGGTAAACTAAGGGAAATCAAAAACACGTGCTTTCAGTTAGACCCGAAGATCGTAGTCCCCACTGAAAAGTGGCTATCGCATGAAACTTCTCCGAGGTGGTAGAGTACGCAAAATAGCGGGTGGAGTGGCAATATACATTAACATTCATATCAAAGACGTACCTCCACACAGAATCAAATTGACCAACGTGACAGAATCGTGCTCTTAGCTCTTCCATTTGAACTCTTCAAAGTACTTAATTAAAGGAACATACCGACAACTCACATGTTATAACAACCGGAACGATATCACAATCGATAAAACATCCACACCCGACGGTTGACCAAAACACTACTGGCACGTGACGTCACTGCTGAAATCACAGCAAGCAGGAGACGATATTTTCATGGTGGTTCTGCTAGCGGCCTGTCACATACGTTAAGTTTAATGATTGTCCGAGTATGTTGGTGGTTCCTTGAGTTGTGGTATGAACGAAAAGTCCTCAAGCTCAGGTTGTTTGCTGATAGATGATCAGCTTCTATCTATCTGCCGTGTCCACACATCAATAGGAAGTAGTAACAACGGTACAGATATGTCTATCGTGGTCTCAAACGAAATGCTTCGGGACGAGGGAAAGGGGTCAATTCTTATCCCAGCTATACTAAGGCAGACTACACGACCATGAGGGAGGATCTTTAACGCCTACATGACCACAAGAGTGATGGAGGCTAACAGTAGATGGCCACTTAAAGATAATGAGGGACATTATTCAGAATGCTATTCTATCCAATGGATTCGAGGTAAAACACACATAGAAAGCGCAGATACTGAGTCAAACGAGGCACGGGATGCTTGCTAAAGACCAAAAAGAGAGCCTGTCATAGGTCTTCCCGGGTGACTCTGATTGTAGGTGGTAATTGGCATTGAGAAACGGTAGCACCGTAAAGTTCTGAGTCGGTGAGAGATGCTTTCAGGTTAAGTCACCAGCCAAATAAATGTTAATCTTGAATGTCCACACATATCCATGACTAGCTTTATATTATTGATGTATTTGTAAAAACAGTATATAAAGAAATTCCGTAAGTTTCCCATCATTTATTCTTCTTTGGATATAATACCTTCCTTTTTTGAGGCGTTAGGTGTAATGAAGATCATGTGCATTTATTTTTAACCGATTTGTTATCCTTTGGATGCGCTGGGACTACTTTGGAGGTGTTGTTTTTTCCCTTTGTACATGAGTTTTTAATTCCATTATACAACTCGGTTCATTTGTTTGATGGCATATCAGGCTTTAAATCACTCTCAGTCTGCCCCTCTTGTCTGATGGGCCGTAATTGGTTCTCATTTCCTATCCATCTTTTCCCTCTGACTTTTACTTTACAAATAACTTTTCCTCCTCTGCAGACTATGGCTTCAATCTTCCTTGTTAGTTTTACTCCATGGAAATCTCATATTATTCCCGTTTACCCCATAATGAACTTCCGGTTAATGTACCATGCTACTTTTTGAATTGTTGTTTAGTCCGTTTATTTATAAATAGACTGATTCTAGGTTTTGATTTCATCCGTTCTAATGGTATTCTCATTTTCCTTCCAAACATAGCTTCTGCTGGGCTTTCTTGATTATTCGTATTCATATTATTCACATTCATATATATTGCTGGGTTTGACTTCACGCGTTCACATTCGACGTTGGACACCATAGTATCCGTTATCTGCTGGAAAATTGCTGGAGCTGGCTTATCACCAAAAGGTAGTCGGTTAAATCGATAGAGTCCACGGTGGATATTAATGGTTTATAACCCCTTTGAATATTTGTCAACTTCCACTTGTAAGTAGACTTCAAACAAATGAAGTTTAGCAAAACAACACACACCGCATAATTCAACAAATAAATCCTATGGCATAGGTAGTGGATATGAATTATTTTGTAAAACATCGTTTTATCCTGTTGAAAAATCTGCACAAAGGCGAATAGCTCCGTTCGCTTTCTGAACTACTTCAATTGATGCTGTCCGTGATGAAGTTGCATAACACCGAGCTTTTCTAGTCGGTCTAATTCTCTGTCAACTTTGTCAACAGCTGCATATAGAATAAGACGTCTTGTTTGAAGAACAAGTTTCACGTCATCTCATCAGTATAATTTTGCCTATACGATTGTGCAACATCCTAACTTATTCTGGAGCAAGTTTGTATGTTGCCATAAAAGGTTTTCTATCTTTATGGCTTTTATAGCCACATAAAACGAAAAGCAGATCTGAAGGACTATTTAAGCATTTCATCGCACATATTTCGCTCAGTGGTACATCCCGTAAATTTAGTTTGTCTATCCAATCTATACCAATAAGGTCCAAGTAATGTATGTTCGTCAAATAACAATTTCTTGTGAAGTAATTGTCTCAGAATTCAGTAGAGTATTTTATTATTCCAACAATCTGTAATATGTCTCCGGATGCAGGGACCTGACAAATACGTACTCGCCCTTGGATTACCATCTCCCTCTTGAATTAGCTGTGCCTGATGCATGCCTTACGATAGTTATCATTAACAACCGCTTTCTATCTCAATTACTGCCATCTGCGTGTTTCTACTTGTTCTTTCAATTTGGTCTTTTCACTTTGTCTGAAATACTAATTAATTAAGTCATTTACTTCTTGAATCCATCATCTCTTTGCATTCGAATAATCGCTTTACTATTCTTCACATTAAGACCAACTAGCCCCCTAACTGGTAATACAGTAACTTCTGTTATCCGAAACCTCACTCGTTAGTTTGAATTTTAAAATACACAAATCTACAAGCAACTACCAAACTCATCAGAATTACTGCAATAGAGTGGCTAGGATGCCATAGGTTGGACGTTACGAAATACTTGTAACTGTACGAGGGGGGAGCTCAGAAAAATTATTCAGCTTATGCGAAACCGCGACAGAGATATCAGAGAGATAAACGTGCTGAAACTCGACAAACAAAACCCCATTATTTGGGATTTACTTTACGTATCGATGTGATAACATAAAGACATATTAAACTGGAATTACTCCAAATATTTATATACATGCGACTTTTTTAGTTTTGTGATTACTTTCCATTCTCTCTTCTTATGATGTACTGGGTAAGCATCTCGATCATATATTTGGTCACATAATTATAAATATAGTATTAGGAGTATTACAGTAATTTTTCCAGATAGGCGGAACTCGATTATTCTGCTAAAGTAAGGATGGATGAAGGACAAATTTTCGCTGAAAGCAATCTAAGCCAGACAGAAACTAATGTTTCGTGCACAACCATTTGAACTTATTAGTTTGGCGTTGCTAATGGGCCCGAAAGAGCGTGTTTCAAACTTGAGGGTCGTTTTTGTATGCAGACTGTGGAGAATGCCGCTACCTAACCTAGATTCTTTGAAAAACATCGCCGTCGGAAAAGATAACGCAAATAAACAACAAGTATTCAATCATATTCATTTCTAAAATCATTAGATTGTGCATATTTTGAAGGGAATCACGGATCAGGAAGTCCCACCAAAGCAAAAACATATTCGTGGAATTATTTTAGCTACATTTAGTGGAAAGTCTTCGTCGTTTTTTTATGAGACTGCACTTAAACTCGCCATATACACCAATCCTGTAGTCTGCTGGAAGTTTCTATATGTTATCCATAAATTGTTCCGAGATGGGCACCGTGAGGTATTGTATAACAATACAACCAATTAATGCATTTATACCATATTTTAGTGCGTAAGTGACGGACTACGTCACGCAACCAGAGTTTCCCAGTTGCAGTCTGCTTGGGTAAATTTTAGCTAATAAGTCTAGTATAATTTAGAGTAATCACGCGACAAAGTGTGGATATCCGATCGTAGACTTTTGTCAACTGATAACCCGTAAAATCAGCCTACACAGAAAAGTAACCATGTAAATTTATTCGATCAAGATATTTTAGTATGGAGTATTACCTGGAAGTCTGGAGCTAACTCCCAATGAGCTGAAGAGTTGTCTTTCTGCACAAGTAGACCACTTGTAAGTCATTTTAGTACTAAACTTATTTTTTTCCACTAATAAATTACCCTCATGGCAGAAAATGGTTCATATCTAAGTAACTCTTGAACTAATGTTTTATGATTATAATCATAAAACTTAAGTCATTACAATGACCTAACTAAGAATGTAATTTGGTCAAGATACCAGGTTTTGTGTTATACAACCATTTTTTTTGACTGGAAGCTTGCTTTTACAACAACATCATAAGAGCGAGCCATAGCTTTCCAAATATTTTTTCGTGGTACCTGATTGTTGAAGATGTTTCAGATATTCTAACAACCTAATATTTTCCATTACTACTCATACTGTTATTACTCTTACTTTCCTGGGATTTGTCTTGCTGTGGTAATATGAAATAAAAACTTGTGTGGATGCACGTGTGCCAGGTTTTACCCTTTATGTAACTGGCTGACTGATTCATTTTGATAGCTTAAGCCAGTAACTACAGAATTTTATTCAAGTAAGAATATGTACCCGACCATATAACATCTCAACGTAGTGTTAAAGGTCAAGTAATAGTTTTAGGCTTTAAAAGTGTGTAACGAATAATGCTCTGGATATATCTGAGTATTTAGTCTTCTTTCCTGTGAAAAAAGGACTGAGAAGAAAAAGGGTTTTATTGATAACCCAAAAACTGTTATTCAATTTGTCTTTAAGCCTAGTTTCTAAACCGTTTTGACGTTCAGCAGAAAATCTTGGAAACTTTCAACATACTTGTGTCTATATTTAGGACTGGAAAGAGTCTAAAATAACTTTGTTCATGTTTTTAGTGTAGGTGTTTAGCCTGTTAGTTTTTAACATACAAAGATTGATTCTCAAAATCTCTAGGGCGTCAGTCAGAAGGATTACGATTCTCTGTGCTAACCTAATGAGATTTTCCTGTTGATTGACATCATGTCACAGTTTCTGTGAAGCTTTCTTCACTATTTTCCCCTATTTAGCATCCATATTTTATGTAACAGCTGCAAACTATAAGATAAAAGTATTTAATACCAAACTTGTAGTTTGTTCTGCCATTCAAACTCACTTATGTAACCTTTGACTTGATTTTCAAACAACTTAGTATTTTGGGAGTCTAGTGGTAGTTGAGGATTAAAAAAATAATTTAACTGATTTTACTGAACCCGATATTGATCCGGTGATATACCTCAAAGCTATCAGTTGTCTAATAAAACTTTCTCGCTAGTACTTAGTAGTAAGGACATACACCACATCAGACGATCCGATTGTTGTTTTATCAGTTTGGTTCTACCTGAAATGATGACCGCTTAAAGTTCCACTTTTACTAATATATAAGTATGTAGATAAACATCTTACGGTTTGTTTCGTTTTTGTTATCAGGATTCAGGGTTTCATGAATAAAGTTACTGTGTTCTTTTTCTTAAGATTTCAATTTAGTGTCGATCTCATGGATATGCTAGAAGAAACATTGCGCTTCAAAGATGTTGTGCTCCTTTCTTTGGAGGGTATTCAAGCCGCTTCATTCACTCCCTCTGGTCAATGTAAACTTATTCCACTCATTCAATGTATTCAAGATGCTGCAGCACTCTATGAACTAAGCGTACAAGTCATCTTTAAGTTACACGAGTTATTAGGCAATGGAACAATGTCCGGTCACAGAGAACGCTTCAGAGATCTCCATATTTCTGTCAAGAAATTTTTTGAAAATGTATCCCACATGCAATATTTCCGTTCATTTGTTCACATACCTTCAATATCCCAGGTTTGTTATTGACATTTAGTTATCAAAACGTATTTCATTACTTAGGCGTTTGTTTGTACTACTTTGCATTTTAATTTGTCGAAATGCTAACCCCTTTGTTATTGATAGTAATGGTAGTATTAACCAAAATCTTAAGTGACCGATAACATAAAAGGTTTTAGTTTCGGACTTCACTAGCTTGTTTAATATTGGTGGATGTTTTTACAATTTTTTGAGCGTTATTACTGAAGTTTCCTTTAATTTACTTTTGTTTCTAATTTTCAATTAAATAAATCTTCATAATCTTTTTCGCAAGTACGAAATGGAGGTGTCAGTCGATCATTTTACTAGCAATGGGTCCAACTATGACATATTTTTGTTGAACTGTTTAGTATAATATATTGTTACGTGAAAAGATTTCATTTTTAACAATATAGTATAAACGTTGGTCTCTTTTGGAGTTAGTGACACTATTCATCCAGTTTTATAATGGGACTAACATCGATAAAATGTGAAACCCAATACGACAGTACACCCTATCAGCCTTTACTTCAGTACGCCATAGTAAAGGTAATTCAAGAATGTCGAGGATAAGGTCTGATAGAAGGTACGATCCGAAATATATAGATATTCAGAAATAAGTTATTCTCTGTTTGCACCTCAACAAGAGGTTAATACCATTTTTCAACCTTTAATGGTGCTTCTTTTCATCAACACCCACTTTCTACATTGTAAAGCTCCAGGCTAGATGGCTTCATTAATTGGTTCAACTATGTACAAGAAATGCTTCAGAGACACGGGTAACCAAGTGCGTGTGGTCTTTTTAGGGAATTTGCTTTTGGTGGCTTATTCTGATAGTTTTCTAATTTAAGTGAACTGATTATTATATGCTATGCTTGCTATGTAGTGTTGGGAATTTCACTTTAAAAACCTTATATGGCATTCAGTTCAACTGATTTAATAAAATTGTCCTACCAGTCTGAACTGACTAAAATATTCGGCACATAGGGTCCGACGTTTTTTTATAAATTCTATGAAGGATTTGGCTTTCATACATTCTATAACTTACCTTATTTGTCGTTATAGACGGTAAACTGTTACACCTGAGGTACATTAATGTTAGTCTACCACGTATATAAGCCTTTTTATGCCTTATAAATTTCAGTTGATGAGAGTTCATCGATCACTCATGGATAACGTACGGTCTGGCACAAGTATGTATTGGTTCAAGTGTACACACTTCATTTTTGGATGGCTAGAGAGGAAATAAACTAGGCAAAAGATAAGAAAATGAAATTAGTTTCAGATGAGGCAAAAAACCGAAAATGGCTAGTAAATTTCGACATGATTGGATGGAATCGAAGAACTCAAGATATTGTTTGATGTTGGAAACCAAGATTCAGAGGGAGAAAAAAGACCAATACATATTCTCCAACGGAATTTTTTTCGGTGATTTCATTTCAGGTCTCCTTATATAGATTACAATCGTCACAAAAATAAGAATGTCTAAATTTCCCTACGCGCCCCAGACTTAAGGTCAATAACTTGATGGACTAGTACCGAGCCTTGGTGAATCTTCCAACTTATGTTTTTGGACAGAGTGATAAGCAAAAGAATTAAAGAAGTAGTTTTGATTAGATACTTAACTGTCAGGGATGTATCAAAGCTACGAAATGAACACTGACTATTCAACACACAAATGAAGCTTACGGTTTAGTGAAAATGCCGAACTTTGCGAAGGGTTAGGTTTAGTGAAAGGCATTCAGGATTCTAGGTTAACTTTGGTTTGTTAGTCAACATAAGACTTTCTACTAACAGCAGACTATTTATATACCTTATAGTTTTCTTATCCTACTGCTGTATTTAGTGATTCATCATAGTTTGTGATTTAATAATTTAAATTTATGAATGAGTGCTTCATAAATGAGTCATTTTCATATAAACATTTTATAGTAAGTCTTATTGGTTTTGTTATCATATAACAGGAAACTCGTGACTTATAGACCATAAAGTATGACCGAATTTATGTAGCGGGACTTCATTGCTTGCATATAAACTAGCTATGGGTGGTTGAAGTCGTTGTGAGATGTAAGAAATACCATTTATTCAGCTATACTTGAAAACATTAATAATAGAAATGCCTCTTATAATTAACGCATAAAGAGTGGTAAAACATCAAAGCGAATATAATACCAAATTATATGATGAAAGGTGAAAATTTATGGCAAGATGTGGAGTAAAATGTATTTGAACCTGTTTCACTAATAAAAGTTTCTACTCAGTTTTTTAGAAATTTATAACCATAGATCTTTGTTTTTTTCTAAAATTCAATCAAGAGTTCTAGGATTCTCCATATGGCTACACATATATCTCATAACTACTGTAAGTTATCATATAAGTAATAACTTACCCTCTTCTCTTCTGTTGCTCTTATTTACTTCAACCAATATTTTATGTCAACCTTATTGATTTACTTTATTCTTATTCTTCTATTACAATTATTCAGTATTATTGCTTGACACTTTTTTAATCCATGTACATATATATTTGTTTTTATGTTTGTCTATAGAATCCGCCGAATTTTTGTGTTCAGTCAGAACTGAGTGAACATACTACACTTAGAGTTACGATGAATGAATCACAATCATTATCTCCACCACTGCCACCATCTTCACTGTTGTCATCGACGGCAGTACTAGTGGATGAACGGAACAGTCCACATTCAGGTGATGAAGAAGATTCTTGTGAATTAACCATTGTACCTAAAGTTATGTCACAAATTCGTCCAACTAAATTATCAACTGAAAAACAGACACTAATTAAATTAGGTTCTGAAAATACGGATATAAATGAGAAGACGGTTATGTTGTCAAAAGAAGTGAAAATGGTGAGAAATTCTTATTTTGTAAAACAAGAACAACAAACATTAATGGGTAAATAAATTTATTTATGTAAATCAGTTGGTATGCGGAAAATTTGTAGCTTTCTAAATGAAATGAATTCACTTCATCCTGAAATGTTTGTTGTTCCTGTTTAACAAGAGTTTTATTTATTATCTGAAAATTTTCATTCATATTTTCCAAAATTAACCATTTTATATTTGACCGTAACCACAATGGTGCTAATTTATTTCTTACTAACTTGCTCATAAGCTGCCACACGAAAAAGAATGATGATGAGAATTTGAAATTTACTGTTAATTTGACTATTTTTTGTATTCTCTCTTTTGTACATGATGTCAATTTCTGTCCTAAAATAAATGAAAATCAGAGAGCTCTACACAACCGTTGTGCTTCAATCTAATGTTCTGAAGTACTTTTTTACTGAGTTCTTTTCTTTTATCAACTATGGTGCTTTCAGGTTCTGTAGTGTATACATTAGTACCAAACTATTGTATTTTAGTCTAAAACTCGGTATCTTCTAATTTTTATTATTTTATGGGAAAATCATTTGTTTGTTTACGGATATAGCTTTCAGTTATTGATTCATTGCTTTGTATATTCTGTTACTTAGTTTAGTCATTCTAATCACTTCGCTTCATTAGCTATTGTATAACATGTGTATCTAGTGATAGAATACCTCAATTTGAACTGAATTAGTGTGTGGATCGTATTATATTGTCCTTCATTGCTACTGGTACGGGTTTGTCCTTATCACTAAAAGTGGTCACTAATCTAGTTTTTAGTAAGGCATTCAGAAGTAATTTGATATGTAAATTCATAGGTTGGCCCACTGTTCATCACTTTCAAGGCATGTACTAGTGGTAATCCATACCACTGCCTTAATTAATGGACCATTTATCTAGGTTTCATCAAATTATCTAATCTTTCATTATTGTTGACAGTACTCATTTAAACTTAGTTGGTTCAAAATGTTATAAAAATAATCTAAGTCATCTTGAGTAAAATGTTCTCTGGCTGGTGGATAATAAATTGGAATACACTTAGTAGCTCTACGGCACCTTATGATTTAAAAAGTTACTAAAATGTAGAAAATGCACGACTTTTCTTTACGATTTGTAGACTTTTTAGCTTCACACACAAAGCATAATTTCAGATAAACTTCCTTAATTGATTAAATGAATGAAAAAATTATCATGCAGTTTACCAATCGGTGTTAGATAACAGAATTTTCATTGTCTGTTGTTAACAACTACAATTGTTAGTTTTCATTTAAACCAATCTATCTAAGATCATACAAAAGTTATATTTGTTTCTTTAAATTGCTTATGGATGATAAGCGTCTAAATTCTAGGATAGGATGTAACCATTAAGTTCATTTTTTGCTTTTGTGATGTTATTGGCTGTAATTTTACAACAAAAGATTGATTTTACGTTCAAAAACAACTCATCCGTTGATTTCTTTACGAACTGGGGGACCATGAAATTATACCGGAAAGTGTAGTGAATCCTTAGCATAAAAGATGGTAGTTATCAGTATTTATTGACGAATAACTGATGTTTAACTTGGTTATTTGTATGTAATTTGTTGGAATGAGATGTCTGATCTTAAGGTAATTTACAACATGGACTAATTTTAACTAGGTGACCATGGAAAACCAGACAATACTGGACAGCTACTTCGTCCTGATACCGATCTTACCAGAAGTAAGCTTCAGCTATTAAACGACAGAGCCCGCAGTTCACGCGTTTCCTCTAGATCACTGGGGTAGAATCCACTGTCTTATAATTCCAGTGCCAATCAATTTACGACAGACTACGATCCTTAGTCAGCGTCATCAGTGAGTGAATTCTAAGGAGTCTCATACTACAAAAAAATAGCCATCTATTACTTCCTGGTTTTCAGTAATTTCCTAACTAAGTTTGACCTGATAGCTAAACTACATACAACTTATAATTTTAATGAATTTTTACTTTTATATTAACGTTCAGGATCCAAGTGTCAATGATAAACATCACCATATTAATAATAATAATAGTAATACTATTGATAATAATAATTTGAAAATGAATTGGAACCCATTTTTGGATAATTCAATTCAAACAAATAACCATGTACTGTCACCTTATCATACTCATGTAACGGATGAAAAGTAAGTGAATAGTATCTTTTTTTTTCTCGAAATAATTGATTTCACAAATTTCCTTTTAATTTACAGAAAATAATTTTAATGAATCCATAACAACAATTAAGGCAGAATAACATTAATTTGTTTTATTTCGTGGTTTCGTCTCAGCTGCATACACCTGTATTGGTGTTAAAATGTAGCATTGAACTATAATACGGTATGAAATTATGGATACTGGTGACAGAAATAATTAAAACAATGATTGTCTGTTATATATATGAATAAACATGTGTGAGGTCATTTTAACATGGAACTAAAAAAAATAGAGATGAGGTAGTATGTAGAATCTGGAAACCAAAAAATGAATTGTGTAGTAATTATAGGAGATTTTAAGAGTTGACATAAGCTTTGAGAATTAGATTGGTGAAAGATGCAGATATGAATGAAAAGATAAATTTAGCATAAATGAAGTAGAACTTAGCTTACTGAAGATTGAATATCAAAATAAATAATAATAATAATGATAATAATTAATGGTAGTTTTAATCGAAAACATGAATTTACCGAGGCAAGTATAAATTAATAACTATCTTTTTCTAGACAGATAAATACAGTTTGAAAATTTTAATTGATACTATTTAGGCGAAACGTAAAGAAATGGGATCATTTTAAAGGATTGAGAAACGTCAATTATATTCCTGTTGTCAATTAAGTACCTAGTTGTTTCATCTTTTAGTCTCCAACTATATAAAACGTGCTTGGAAATGTGAACATGTGTTCTTCTCTCTGTTCTTCCAACGTATGTGGTTTAAGACGTATATACTAACTAGCAAATACAGTTGAAGGAACTGAGAAAAGGGAACTTGTTGATTTACTCATGTTTTAGGGAGGAGTTGATTTCACATGAGGTAGTTAGCCTTGCTGGTGTATAAGTAATCCTCATTGTAGCATCAGTTATTCAAATAATTTCCTCTTTTATGCGAAGATGTACAGAGCAAGTTCTGTTTTCTGTTGTGTCATGATTAGCAAGTTCGTTAGTTGCAGCGTGCTTCTCGACGGATTTCTGTGAGTATGAATTTTAATGTCAACTGTTGTTAATGACTGCAAACTCTTCTTCTAGTCTTTCGTTGGCTCATGGTTTATGAATACAGTCAAAAGGGTCCGTACTCTCTCTCCTTTATGACTTTTTGAACTAAAGCTGTTATGCTTAATATAAACTTCGCTCCATGTGCTTTTCCGATAGGTGAAGCTATATGAATCATTCTCACTTGAACTTCGTTAAATTTCAATTCCTAAGAAATGGATTTTTTCTTCATCCTTATACTCTATAGTAAATTCTATTTCCTGGTGTTGTTTGTCAGGAGGATTAAAATAGGCGTGTAGCATGCTTCAGAAATGTATAATCAACTAATTTTGTTGAGCAACCACAGGAAACCATAAGGCACCACATAATCTGTTTCTGTGATTTCCTGATCAGATACGCTAATGCACTTTGTTATAACCGCTAACCTAATCGGTCACTGATCACACTAAGCCTGTTTGGGTTTATTATTGTTTCCAAATCCATTTGCAAAAAGTAACGAATCATTTATGGTTTTTTGGAAGTTAGTTCTTGATCAGTGGACGCGTTTCAGGTTTCACCTTTTCACTGGGTTATATCGTTTATTTGTAGAACATTAAGTATAACTGGGGGCGTGAATTTATTTGTGATGTTGCACTTATTCCTAGTTTATTTTGTGATCTCTCTAGATTATTTGGTATAGACTTGTTAACGTATACGTGAGTGATTTACATCTAGGTCAAACCATGAACTCCATCTGTTGTGTTGAGTAGGCGACAACATTTGGCTGCTTTAGCCTAAATAGGTAAAAGGGGAAGTTCAAACCTGTGTTCTACTGATTAGCAGTCAAATACATAAACCAGTGAATTGCAGTTTCACATGTTTTTACTGAATACTTAATTATATGTCTCATCACATCTCATGTTTTACCCTGATGCTGAGATAAATTGTTCGCAACTTTTTTGTAAGTTCACATGATGTGCAAGCGTTTTTGGTTTAGTAGTTATTATTCGTCTGTGTATTAGTAAACTAATTTTAAAAAAGTATGTTGTGTACACAAATACTATGATATTTTAGTTGAGTGTCTTACATATAAGCAACATGTTAATATTTTCTTCTTAAATATACAGCAGTTACACGATTATAACAGTAATTAAAGCGATTGACTGAACATCAGTTAACTTAGTTACTTACAACAGTTTCTTGTTTATTAAACTCTCACATATTTTAGAATCAGCTATTTGACGACTACTAATTTCAATTAAAAAAACGGATAAAATTATTTAAAATAAGTATGAAAGTAGTCTTTATCTTTGTATGTAGTAAATTTATAGTGATATTATGACTTAGTTACAAAAGTTAAATTAAACTAACTGTATTAGTTATCAATATATAAATAAGATGTGATCTATTAGATACGTAATCACTAACTACTTGAATGTACAATATTTACAATAATCGAACATTGTATTATTATCTAAATTCAACTTGAAGTTACTCTAGCCGATAAAATTTTATACCAGTCATTGAAATACTGAGTCAAATAAAATATAAACAAAAAAACACATTAATAAATTATCGTTCTAACTCTTATATAATTTAAATTTTTATTTTTCAATTAATATACTTCCGATTTCTTTGAATTGTTTTAGAAAACAATGTGTACATAGATATTACATTTCAGTTGTCAAAACATCAAGAACTTGTTGTGAATCATAGTCTGTACATTTTGTGATGGAAGCTTTTTACTACGTATATATATATACATATGGATGCCAATGATGAGTTAGATGTTATATAATAGAGGGTTCATATTTAATGAAATGGTTAAAACTGTTGACTGATAAATATTGTGTTGTTAAGGTAGTGTAATAGTATGATTATTCTCGTGACTGAAAGTGGGACTCAAAACCGCATGCTGCAACATTTAATTGATTACTAAGTAATAATAATTCATATCGAATAATTAAATAGTTTGGAATGAAAGAAGAATTTTATTTAACATCTACCCATCAATTAATAACTTTGTAGAGTTAAAGATATTTAAATGAATAAGATGTTTTAGTGCTCTTGATAATAAAATAATTACAAGCTTGTTTTATTAATTACAATATTGTCATCTCTGAAGTCGATAACTATATTGTGGTGCGTGCTACTTATATTGATATAAGTAGTATATTATGCGAGTCAGGAATGTAATGTCTGGCAGCAGAAGATGAGGGAAGATCAAGAAAACAAGAGCGGGAATAGAATGCAGTTTGTATGAAAATGTAAGAACAATGAAGTCTGAGGCATTTTGAGACAGTTGGTGGACATTTTGCAAATTAACGATTTGATATATAGTTCTCAGATTTTATTGAGATGCTCTGTAATTTCATGTGAAATACATCCGTGTTCTGTTCACTACAATATGACCAAACAGCTGGTTTACATGGCTAGTTCACTTCCCATTTCATTTCTCACTTAGTGTGATGATTTTATATATCGCTATGAAACGTTTTGGACCGTACGGTTATTATACTTGATAACTAGTAAAAAACCATTGTATCGTTCAATTACAGTCCTGTACATCAATGGGAAGGTTCAAATAAACAATGCAATTTAAAAACGGTTCACATTAAGGACTGATTTTGTCCGGTTAATCATTATAAACCAGCAAACACTGGCACATCGTTTTGTCCTATCACGGAACGTTTGAGCCAGTGCTCATGTACGCTCTTAGACCGAAAACCTGACTTCGTGGCTATAATATAACCTTTAGATCACTGCGTTCTTATCTAGTAGTTCAAATATTATACTTTAGTTTATTCGTGATATAAGAAAGCCTCTACAGATCAGTCAGTCATAAACAAAGTACAGCTTATCACAAATGTGCATTGGTTCAAGTTGTCATATTATTTTAGCACGATGAGGTGAAATTAACAGAATGAATAGCAGACTAATTAAAATGATGTGGTAGCAGTGATATGAGAAAGGGTAGACTTTGATAGTGTTGCTCGGTATGACAGAGTTTAAAAGTTTGTACGAAGTAATATTGGAAACTAAGTTTTAGAATACGACAAAGATTAGGTGCACCTGCACAACAATGACCATCTACTTTTCACTATAACCTCGAAAAGAATTCTTGAAGTGAATCGATAGTGAGCATAAGAGCATTATCGGTATTAGGATGACAAGTTTGTAGATGTCGTTCAGTTCACTGCTAAACTTTATATACTGAAAAGTGTTAACTTCAACACAGTTGTTCGTAAACTGTTAATTTATTTTTAATTTTTAAATATATTTCAATGCGAGTTCGAATATTAGTGCTTTTTTTTGATTCTCCAACTCTTGAATGGTTCACATTTTTTTACTTCTGTTAGTATTGTAAATCTAAAATCTATGTACTTCATTATTTAATAAGCTTCGGAAGATCACATTCCATCCATTTGTAGCTTACTTGAGGGGTCAAATACTTTAATTGTATATGTATATTTCATAGATTATGAAGTCGACACAAACACTTTCTTTGGTGATCATAACAAATACAAGCAGATATAGATTGGGCTGATATTTCAGGTTGATTAATTTAAACATTCCCACCTGTTTGCTTGATTGAACCAGGTTTTGCCTACTTAGAAGCCAAAAAGTGGTTATTTAAATCTCTATATGGGTTATACTTGAATACTCGGCATATTAGAAGTGTTGAGTTTGTATCGAATCTTCAGAAGCTGTCTGTGTGGTGTTTCAAAGGCCATGATCAGATTAGTAACTTACGTACGCCTGTTACCCCTAGGGGGAGCATAAACCGTCGACTACGTTTCTCCAACGAACTATATTATGGGCTCTCCTTTCTAGTTGTTTCCAAGCGCTACATTATGCTAGACTTTAATTCTTGTTTTATACTAAACTACGGATTTGTCAACGTTTCACTAGACATGCTTGAATTATTTTCGAACCAGAAATTTTTTCACCATTTCCTTATTTAGAAGGTATATGGGAAAATCGATGATTTTAGGTCAATAAAATAGTCTTAGCATATTCAGATGTCATGTATTGTCTGTAGGTCCTTAGATGATCAGTATTTATAGTTCATTGCTCAATAGTAACGACAACGATTAGTCAGTATATGCTAACTTTTAGGACCACTGTGTCATGTTGAAGATTTTAACTGTTGATAGCTATCAAAGTTTGTGGAATATTTTTGAATTGTATTAAGAAGTGTACAGCTGTGTGTTAAGTTAAAATATACACATGCTTCATCGTTGGGATATTTTTGTGTACCATTATCGTACATCAAAACCGATTAAGTCAGTAGCAATTAAGGAAAATTCAAACACTCAATAATAGTTAATTGAAAGCCATGTTTAAAAATAGATCTTTATACCAGTAATTTTGAGGAATTGTGAATTACTTGGTAGCACGTACAGTAACCTACTCTTAAAAATCATGTCATTTGATGATACTAAAAAACAAAACAAAACCAAAATCGTGCAGTCTTGTATGCACTAAGGACTGATCAACGTTTGAAGCTTTTTTTACAAGAAAAATTGTCGCTATATAAACTCATTTTTCTTGACAACTAAAGAACATATGCTCAAATAAAATGATTTAGAAAAGGAGCATTGATGAAAATTTTGGAATAAATCTAAGATCTTACCTTGACCAATAACCCTGAATTGTACTGTGGTGAATAATCCCCATTATTATCGATATTTCTACTATTTGTTTACATTTCTTCTAACGATCTATTTATTAGCTAATAGTTTCATGAATTTCCACCAGATTTTGATTCAATCGAAATGAAATACATGGATTTCTTTATTTAGGATAGTTATTAAAGACTTTTAAGGTGTTCACTTGATAAAAATAAACAGAATATTACCCTAAATAATAATCAATATAAATTTATTAAAAAATCGATTTCTTTAGGTTACTGATATCAAAGTAAGTGTTCCTGTTAGATATCAGTTGTATATTCATAATGAGCATTTAATTAACTTCATAATAAAAGTTTATTCATAATCAAACTACATGTTTTTGCTTATATGGAAAATTTTCAAGGGTTAACAAATATCAGTCAAATTTTCTTTATCCACCATATAGTTTCATTATTCATCAAATTGATAAGTGTATATGCATCAAAATTTATAAACAGTTTGCGTTATTTAATTTCCTTTAATTAGATTAGAATTGAGTTAACTAATTTCTTAATATCCTTTTCTCATATTGTATACAATATTCAATGATTAATACTCAGTACTCTTGAAGGATTTCATTTCAATAATTTCTTTATTTGTTAAGTTCAACTATTTATTCTTACGGTTCAAGGTTACTTTCTAAGAGAATAATTTTAATAAAAAAGTTAAGGTTACTTTCAATAATGTTGTATTTTCTTAGTTGAATGATCTAAATGATAACAATTTCTGTTCTTAATGTAGATTGATGTTGTCCTAAATGACAACAGATGATTTTCAGTTGAACTTAATAACTTTAAATACATCCATTCTCTAGGGTTATTACTAGTAGAATTGTAGAAAATATCGTTTGGTTTTCGGAAAATATTTTCCATACTTTTAGTAACACTAAAATAATAACTGACTGTACTTAGTTTACTCTGTATATTTTATCTACATTTTTTTGTTACACGAACACTTTCATCCCACTATTTTATTCGAATATGTCATCAAATCAAACAACTTGGTTTTGATCATTTTCTATATCTGACTGAATATTTGGAAATAAATGTGAAGTAGTCCTGACTTTCAACTGACACTGAATTTCGGTATTGCACGACGTATTTTATGTTACCGTTGATTTGAAAACACTCTTTAACATATATATATATATATATATATATATATATATATACTTTTAAAAATCTTATTTCATTTAGTACATAGATTATCATTGTTTAACTAAAATAATAATTTAGATCACATGTTGCTTTCATGTACTATATTGACAATTCATTTGATACTATGAAGTATATATCTAATCCAAAGTATTTCAGTATTGTGGTTTCGAATAATTTAATCCAAAGTAAACTCTCTGTTGTCATTTCATGCAATGGTCTCAATCCAGAAATTCCAATAAAGCAAGGATGACTTGAATCCCAGTACACGGTGAATTGATTGTTTTTCATTATTTTCTGTTCTCAGTCTAGTATACATTATTGTAACTATTTCACTTCAATTTTCACTGTATTATCTACTAATGATAACTGGTTCTTTTCGTCTTGGAATGAATAAATCGATAGATTTGACACGGTTTTCATAATGGCTTACATTTTTTATGTTTACATCATTTCTTTTTCCCGACAAGTGATACTATATATCTGTATTCTGTGGCGTTAGCCAATGTTTGAAAGAGAAATTAAGCCAACAGTGAATGAGAATCGCGATGTGTCGAAAATTGATTGAAACTGAAATTTGATGCCATTGGACCCTGATTCAATATACTAAATATATTGTGACCGTTGGGGGGATTTGAAAATCTTCAATTGACCATAGGTGTTTACACTGTTGTATAGTTTCAAACTAGAACGGAAAGATGGCTCAGTACTCTCTAGTTTTACTCATCATACAGCTGACATCAGTTTACGATGAAATTCACCATTGGAATATATAAAAACTTTCCATTAAACCCAATCTATTTAATAATCAATTTTTATTAGTCTACAATCTTTCAGTTCTTCATACCTTATATAAACGAAAGTCTTGATTATAATGTCTCATTATATCAACTAATAATTACGGTAGCGTGAGTTCATTCTATTTTACTAAAGATGATTACCATCTGAACATAAATAAAATATATGAATTTCCGTCATCGTAACAGAGTTATAAATTCCTTAAATAGGATTGCTTGTTTGTCAACAGTTATATTGCCGTTGTTCAGTTAAGTAATTATATATTTTTCTGACGTTTCGTGACAATGTAAGCCACTTATTCAGAGTAAATAAATAATCGAAATAAGTTGATACAAACTTAAAGTATTATTAATCTGGAATAATGTTGTTCACTTGTACTCTTACTACTTTTCTCTCTGTGAATATATCGAGTATTCTTACTTACTTTAAGTCGATAACTACTTTTTACATCAGTTCACTGGTAATCGTTAGTGGTGTAGTGTATAGAGGAGAGTTTTTAGCGACATTATGTATTATCTTGTCATCTACTTAATTATATTTGTGTGTATGTGTACGTCTTTTCGGTAGTTCTATTGTATATTTTAACTTTTCATTAATCTTCTATACTATTTTAAAACACTGTTTTACTGATCTACGGTACAGATTAATATTTCGTTGTATTTTTTTCTCCACTTAATACTGTATAGTAAATACATAGCTGTATTGATAAATATCTAAACTGTAATTGAATTCTTATGATAATTATTTCAATTGTTTATATTGGTTGACCGTAATTCAACTATTATTCTTTGATAAACAAATTATTATTTTTTAACTTTGATACTTTGGTACAGTCACTTTAAAGTCTAACGATCTATCTACATAGATATGTGTATATTTTCCGATACATTGAGTCAATTTAACAATTCAGTTTGAAGTTTATTTTCATGTTGATACATTGTGTTTATCAAATTTTAAACTTCATTTTCCTTGGAAAAATGAAGAATGTAATGATTATTAAGTCATACGGAATGCAATTGAGTAATTAAATACAATGGTTTAAGTCATAAGTATTTGTATGAAAACTAGTATATGACTGCATAACTGTCCAAACTTTAGTTAACGAGAGCATAGTGACAGATTAAATTGTTGAACGACAACTCCATGAGTTTGTGCATCCTAATTTGATTCGCCATCACTCTCTATCGTATAATTCATTTGTCAGCAATGCTTCATGAGAAATCCAAAACCACACGCTGTACACTGGAGATGTAATATGATTAAACATACATTATGATGTGGTTTAATTCCATATTTAATGTATTATAAACAAATGCTAAATAGCATTATTATAATTATTATAATTACAAAGTTCATAGATGATTGCATAAAATACTCAAAGTTATAAAAACGTTTGTGTTAACTTAATGATGTCAGTGTTATAACGTTTTCAACCCTGTTAACCAGTTCAACACGATATATATATATATTACTTTGGAATGAAGTAAAACACCGTTTCATTATCTAATTGCGTATTTTCTCACATTTGAATAAATAATCATCTTTTTCAGATCTGGAAATACTTGATGTTTTTGTTGTTCCTTTTATTACATATTCATTACTTTATTTGATATGAAAATTAAATATACACAAATTCCTATTTTTTTCTACAATTAATTTAAAAAGGTAGTGATTCATTGTTTTCCCGATAAAAATTAATTTTTAGACATGAAGTACTCATTGAAGTGGAGTTGTTGAAGTCTGAAATAGAAAGATTAAAAGCAGAAGTAAGCAATATTTATACATTGATTTGTTAAAAGTTCTCTAAAGACTATATTGTTAAACTATGGAACTGTATCATTCTTAAAAGATTTTGAAAGTGACCAGTTGAAAAAAGGTAGTGTACATTAATCATTTGATCTGTAGTCATCACGATTTTAACGACCGGCAATTTAGATGAAAAATATACTGTAGATTATTTTAAAAAGTAAGGAATTACTGAAAACATTCAGTGCCATTATGGTTTCTTTTCTTTAAAGATAAATAAGATGAACTGTTATTACTATGTGTACTAATTTTGAAGTAGAAAATATATCATCAAAACCATGTTTTTTCCCGCTTTACTTGACTGTAAAATAAATGATGTAAAAGTATATATATAGGGCGACGATTATTCAACGACACTGATGACTATTTCACTCTCGACATGTCTGAAGGTCCTTTGTTCGATTTCTGTTGGGGTCGTGAGTGTGCACTGGTGAGGATTCTCATACGAGAACAAAACACTTCCAAGGCTTTCAGTGGTACGTGAATTGGGATCAGTCTATGAGGAGCGATATTTGTACATTCCGACCTTGAATGACTAGTGCTTTAAAAGTTCAAAAATTAATGAACAAAACATTTTTTACTACTTTGTAGTTATGGCTAACTCAGTAATTTTTTCTCATGCTGAATGTTTTCGTGGTATTTTCTTAGTAAGAAAATCTTCTAAATATGAATGTTGGATTATTTACATCTCGCCTTTACATCTTCCTGTTTTCGTTTAGCATCATGAACAATCTTATTCACTTTTGAATCGTATACGAATATTAGAAGATGAAATCAAAGAACTTGTACAATATAAGTCTAATCATGAAGAGGTAAATATTTTTGAAAATATACTATACGTTTATGGAAATCGTGTTTTATTTAAAGATCATTCACACCATAGATTAACTTTGCCTTTTGATTTTCTATGGTTATCGATTTAGTATCGCTTTGTCTTGTAAGGTATCTTCAAACCAAATAATAATATGTCTCCCATCAAAATAATAATATTCAGTTGCACATTAATAACTAAGTCCAAAAATATTTCCCAAAGTTCTGTTGAGAAGCCATCAGCGGTGGACTACAGCCGTGTTAAAAGTGAGACAGTCATCACAAAAGGCAATAAATGAATGCCTTTGAATAAACTAGAGTACGTTATGTAGATCACTGATTACCGATTCACTGATATAAACGTAGGTCATTCGATAAGAGATTTGATGGTCATGCGTTCGACACCTGGTAGAGTCATGTGTGTACAGTGCTATGAAGCCTCAATACCAATTTCCCCACGAGTAATAAAAATGAGGGACAATGGACAAAGAGTGCTACGAATTAAAATAAAAACCGAAGATTTGGTTGAAGATTAGATAAAAATGTAACTACTCCACTACAACCCATTCTTTTCCATATCTTCTGATTACTTCAACCACCAATTACGATTGTCTCTAATATAAACTATCGGGTTTAAATTGTTTGAAATGGTTCAAACCTGAAGTCAGTGTTGGTTGATTTCGACTACTAAATTTTTGTTTTCACCCTTGTTAATTACTTGAAGATTGTATAATCGTACAATGAATTATACTATCTGATTAGCATTAAATGGTGATTCCTAATCATCCAGTTATTCTTATATCTTATTTTGTATAGGGTCCATTAAGTTCTATACATGTTACAAATCTCTATCAATGGCGATAAAATATGTTCGTCTGATTATCAAAATATGTTTATGTTCGAAATTGAACGTTAGATCTTATTGTCTTATTGATTATTTCTAACTGTCAAACTGAAGAATTAATGCATGCATTTTATTGTATACATAAAAATAGCATCATCTGACCAATTTTTAGTGAAGGTTATACCCATAAAAAAGCAGTGAATTTTCTCAAAATTTGTATGTGAATCAAAATTTCACCATAGAAAATCTAAAATCAACTCTAAAGGGAATAAATGCTTCTTTTTAAGAAAAATTGAATTGATTTTTTCTGAAATATTATATATATTAGTAACTTGATTTGTTAAAAGCTTAAGATAAATGTGTCCTCTTATCTAGTCTTCCATTTGTATATTCTTATCTAAATATACTGAAAAGAAATCAAATAATCAATGATCTGTGATTGAATAAAGCATGTTAAACATAGATCATATGTTGAGATTAGATGGCGGTTGGAGGTAGTCAACAGGAAACCGTGGACCCAGGTTTCGTGCTACTTGGCACTCATCAGCAAGGTTTACCTGTAATCTTGAGGGAACGGGTGCTCCCTGGCGGATTACAATCCCGTGTCACCCAGCTTCAGTCAGAGACGTTACCACTGAGCTATCCGGCCCGTGACTGACCTACTGTATGACTGTGATGTAATCACAATTAATTGATCACTGGGTGGGGATCAATGTCATGCGTGTCAAGTCCTTATTTAGTGCAGATCGAATGCTATCGACCACCTGTCGACTACTTCCAACCGCCATCTAATTTCAATATATAGTGCACACAGTGTTGAGTCACCTAGACCGGTGACCACATTGCAACATGGTCGATAGCATTCGATCTGCACTAAATAAGGACTTGACACGCATGACATTGACCACCACCCAGTGATCAATCAATTGTGATAGATCATGTGTAGAAGAGCATCCTGTAACATTTTAAAACAGATATACATGATGGTCAGGATTGGAATTCAGGACCAGCGTTTCGTTTTCTATCAGACTCGTCAGCTGTATGCACCTGCGCCACAGAGTTGATGTTCACTACCGAACTCGAACCCATTACCATTCACTTTGAATGCCATCGCTTTATCCACTTAGCTACCGAGTCCAGATAGTCACTAGCTTGTATAATGGGTGAACTTCAATTTATATGAACTGATTAGTCGAATCCTTCTATTAATATTTAGGACTGAAACTGATCAGTCTCATTTAGCAAATGTGAATCCTGTGCGGATTTCCTCGATATTGCAACTACGTTACATGTATTTTAAAGTTGAGAATAGTGGCGAGATCAAAACATAGAAGCACAAGATCCACATGTGCTAAAAGCGATTGATCAATTGCAGTCTCAAACATTATTGGGAAGATTCAAGCAACTGATGGATATAAATTCTGGAACATTAATAATACCAAAAGACAAAAAGCTTAAAAATAAATGGTCACGTAAGAAACAAACGCCAATAATAAGGAAGAGTAAAAAGAGTAAAGCTTAATTATTTGGCGATAAAATTACTAAACTAGAAGAGAGTCGAAGAAATGACATAACGAACTAATCGAATGAGTGGATGAGTTGAAAAACCCCGATGAAAAAACCGTTTCAAAGACAAAAACGATTGACAAATATTTCCTTTTTAACACAGATCAGCTTTCCGACGCTTAGTAGCAATAGGTTCAATAAAGATTTCATGGTGCTTACTTGTTTTTTTATTTCCAAATTATGTATAGAAATTGCGATACTCAATGTCTGTATTCCTTTTGAACGAAGGGTTTAGGGAGCGTTTCTGGAGAAATCAACGGTAGTCCATTTTTTTCATTAGGCAATATGACTTGTTTGGCAGCTACACCTACGTTTATGTAAAAATGACTATCTGGTGTCTTTTGATTGAGTTAATAAATATGTTATTTTATGCAGGATTATTGGTTTGGATTCAGATTAGTTTCTCATTGGTGCAGTGTTAATTCTTGTACTATTTGTCCTTAATGGGTATTTTAATTACTGTAGCTACTTTATTGTCCTTAGTTTCCCTACATTTGTGAATAAATACTAGTAGATATCAATTACCTAATAGACAGTTTTCAACAGTTATCAGTTCTTCCAAAATAAATTAATAAAATGTAGATGAGATCTCTATTTAACTAGATGGTTTGTAGATTCAGTCATTTTCTCTGGTACTCTACTGTATGAAGTAGTTTATTGTATTGAGATATTAGTGAATATTTTTAGTTTACGAGAATGATATTGTTGAAATTGGATTATTTGTGCTGAGTGGTCTAATTATGAAGTTTTGTCTAGAAAGGCAATGAAAATTTAATAATCAAACCATCTAGCTTAAGAACGCAATTTTTACAAAATTTCAGTGCGTGAATTTCATTGTGTATGGTAGCTGGAAAACAAAAATTGATTAATTTTCCTTTCTTATTTTTTTCCGCACTAATTCATTCAAAAATTTTTCTTCTTAGTCTTCTAAAGAAGCAATTTCTTATTTATTCTCTCATTTTTAAACAAAATTTTCATTTGTTCTTTCTATTCATCTATTTGTTTAATCGTGTCTATGTGTGTAATTGCCTATTGCTTGTTTACTATCCAGCTTTCTACTGCTTTTTCGGTGCCATTTTATGTTTCGGAAAAAGCTGAAATAATATTTATCATTGTTTTGAAGTTCAATGTCTAACTGTTTATTATTATTCTTAGTATCATTGGTAGTATCGGTAGTAGAAGTGCGTTGTTATTTTCTATTAAATTTTATATTAACCAGTTGTTAAAGAGATTTATTAAGAAAGGTGTATCAAGTTTATTGACTAAGAAACCTAAAAGATGCTTCGTACTATCTGGTTTTCATTCGCTTTACAATTAATCATAATTCATTATGAAAATTACTCTGAAATTCAACAATATTCACAAACTCGCTTTCCTAGGAACAATTAAGTTTCTATTAATGACTATTTTTGAAATGAATCCACAAATATTTAATGAAAACCCGATGACCGGTTAGATATGTATGTATCAGGATCGGAATATCAAGAGTATCTACTTGTCTTACCTTGATACTTTTACTTAGTAAAATTGATAAACATAGAACTATGTAGAATCTCACTGAAGTTAATTGATTACTGTCATTTCTCTGTACAACAGTACAGTAAGAAAAAAGAGTAGAAGTGGAAAAATCATTATGAATAAATTAGGTGTGTATGTAGGAAGAGACAAATATAAAGTATTCAAGACGTAAAAAAAACATAAATCGCGGATGCATCTCCATCATTATGGTCGATTTCGCTGTATGAAATCCGAAGTTTGTAAACAATGAATTCCATTATCCCAAATATCGCATTCAGAAAGTTTACAACTCCCCAGCTTACTCGGATCACTTGTCGTTACTTTTATGAAACAGTGATTATCGTCTTCACTTGTCAACTAACTTGTTACATGGTCAATTACAAACTTGTATAGTTGAACTCTGTTAATGGTTTGTATTTCCATTTACCTTACTTTTATTTCTGTCTTTTTATTATACTCTGGATTTCAAAATTATTTTACATCTTTCATTATTTCCTCTTGAGTCAAATTCTTTAAAATTAGTCTTTTTACTAATGTGGTATATGCTACCTATGTCTGTCAGCATACATAGTATGTAATACTGATCGGAAGTGGAAAACCTGGTAACAAAAGGCTAAGATGATCAAGTTGAAGGGGGCAGAAATGCAAACAGTAAGGAATCGCTAATAGGAAGAATCATGCATAATAAGAGGGATAAGTTGTGGAAATTTTCAAATGGAGTATTAATTGCATGGTTCTCATACTTTACCAAGACATTCTGTAATTATGTGCTAAAGTACTATTGGTTGTTCCCGCCTGTGTTCTAATTTATTACACTATCTCCGATACTTTTTCATTACTACTTCTATTACTATAGTATTCATCTTAATAGTTACATCCTTCTGTGCTGATATCTGATGTGGTGACATGGACCAGTATTTATGTGCTTCACATCCCACTTTGCTTGTGACTGATCATTGGACCTTTTACTTGACAACTAAAACACCTTTGCATCTATATATATGTTTTAAGACATTGATCCTTCTATCTTATGAGCAGATGTTTGGCATAATTAAGTTTTAACTTTAGGATATTTTTCATTTCAATTGGTTATTTTTGCATATACCCAGCAAACATGTTAGGGGATCTAAGATATAGAAACTAATTTTTCGCTAATGTAATCATTTTTTAACAGTGAAATAATACAAGTATTTTATTTAGTTAATAAAAAACACCATAAAATGGATTGAATTGGTCATATTGTGTAAAGGATGTATGATATGAATACTAAAAAATACTTAAATGATGTACTGTAAAGTACTCATCATTTCGACTACGAATTGAATTAGAGATCTGATAGTATACAAACAGTTGGAGGTGGTAGTGGACATGAAACTCTTCATATGAAATTTTCAGTACTGTACAATACTCATCAAGAAATTATGAAATATCTCGAAAACAACCTATACGCCTTTCAAATTTTTAACGTTTCCTTTTTCAATGATAGATACTTAGAATTTGTTATGAATTTTTGAGCTACCACTTCCTCATAAAATCAATGCGAACTGTGCTCATTTCATAATATATAACAATTTACTACAGTATTTATCGCTAAATAAACTGTTAAAGAACAAAATATAATAGTGTAACAAGTTTTAAAATATACTTTGTCGCCAAATATTGAATTAGGCATACCTGATTGGATTGACTATTTTTTGTAAGATGTTTAATTTTATATTGAAGGATTTAAACTTTCTAAAAGTAACTTTTATGGGTTCTTTCCGTTACCGCTTCAAATAACCTCTACAATTGTTTATATTACTAAACGGATTTCTTATTTTTATGGTAGAATACTTTCAAGTTAACATGATATTATAATAAAAAGATACATTCAACATTATTAGCTAACCTATATAACAGGGTTAATTAAACCGTTGAAATGTCGTGACTACTATCAAAGTCAATCATATGTCCTATGTGTGTATGTTACTTAAAAATAAGGGATTATTAAAACTATACTATAGTTCAATTCTGAATTAGAATGCCAATCTACTGAATTTGAATGTAAAGCTAAAATTTATAAAGCAAAATTTTGTATGAGAATACTAACACCACAGACAATAAATGCCAAAGAATATTTCAGAGAGTAGAAGTAGGTTATAAGCTAAATATGGGATACAGATTGATGAGACTATAAACCTTTGTTGATTAAGATAATGTGGATAAGTGTTAGACATCATTACTTACCACATACGCCAACGCTAAATATCGGCTATCATAGAAGTAGGTTAAACAAAAGCTGGGAAAGGATGACGATCAAGACACAAGATCATTTCTTAAGGTCACCAACTACTTATTCGACTCACATTAAGATTTTTTAAACGTTTTTATTAACGAGATAATCACAGTCTTAATTTGGAGACGGATGACTGGATTCATGATCTTTACCAATATAGCTGTATTCATTTGATACTATCATCTGATACTTGGGCTTCGTGTTATTGTGTACTTTTTTTTCGGTCTCACGCATTTTTTGAATATGTTTCTCATCAGGGGTTTTGTGGAGATTTTAATAATTTCAATAGCTGAACTCATGAGTCAATTGAAGCTAGGCCACCATGGAAAACCTAGAAGCACTGTACGGCCGTTTCGTCCTATTGTGGGACTCTTCAACAGTGTGCGTTCACGATCCCGTCTCGCGAGATTCCAATTCAGGACCTATCAGTCTCGCGTGCGAGCTCCCGAACACTGAGGAGTCCCATACTAGGACGAAACGACCGTCCAGTGCTTCCAGGTTTTCCATGACGGTCTAGCTTCAATTGAATCATGATTTCAACTAATGTTTCTCATATATATTTTTTCATTGTAACTCCTGTTACCTTCCTTGTACTTCTAATCTTTTTAATTTTGTTCGTTTTTTTCATTTTTCTATTTTTTTTTTCTATTTTTGTAATTTGGAGAGTGAAATAGCCTAAACCGATGGATCTCTTTGTAAACTTTTGTATTATTTCAAGTCTGTTTATGTGTATAAATACATCCATTTACTCTTTTTTATACTGATGTTTAGTTTTCTAACCGAAATTCGAAATATGTTATGTTTTCATAATTCTAATCTTTTTTTGACATTTAATGTTGTTTGGTTATTTGTAAAAAAATAAGTATTGTTTTTGTCCGATTGATTTTATATTCCGTCACTTTTAATTATATAATTGAAGTAAGTAAGGCAAATATTTACATTTATTCATAGCAAATGTTTTATTGTATAATAAACGTAGTTTCTAAGTATATTGTATTGGATAACTTTGATTATTTTCTTCACTTTTTTAGTCGAATTTAAACCCTAGATATGGGATATATGAGTTTGAATCTAATTGTTCTCTTTTCCAACTTTTGTTTTATCCCCAATGTTATGTGGTTATTATCAGTAGCCACGGCATCTAATCAATAACATTCTTTATGGTTGAAAACAATCCTATACTCCTAGAACATTCTTTAATAATCTACTAAACTAGACAGTGTACTAGTCAAATCTAAAAAGTATATGTTAACCGTATATGCACGAAAAACAATTTAAATTTTGATAGTTTGGGCCAGAAATATTCCAAAAAAATATTTGACTCTATCAACATGGACAATTGACATTATTTATCATTCAAAAAAGTATCTTTTAGCATAATTTAAATTGCATTCGATCTTACCATAGTAACTAAAGTATTGAACATTTTAGAAATTAAGTTGCACATTTGATCCTCGTCTCATCTGTCTTGGTTTATAGAACTAAGTAATATTAACAGTTTATCACAGAAAATAAAATCAATTACATAATGTCTATACTTAGTTATTGAGTTGTATCGTAAAATTATGATGACTGTTGTAAATATTATTAATTTTTAAAAATTATTTTGTTAATTGTAACCAAGTTACTCAGTCATGATCAAACATGGATTTCATTGAAATTTTCTCGTATACATTAATTCAGTTTATTATAAAAATGAACTAATTATTTTTGAACAATCTCATTTCAGTATTTTTTTTCTTCTTTTCCACGTTTTTTTTGTAGCAACAAGTGAACTATGAGACGAAATTAACTGAAAAAGTTTGTCAAGCTCAAATGTTTAAAGAGAAATTTCTAAAATTAAAAGAAGTCTATACTAAACTACGTGAAGAACACGTTGTTCTGTTGAAAAATGTATGTTTATCACGTTTCTTTTTGTATATTGCATATTAACTTCCATTCACTGGATGTATAAATATTTGATGAGTGATTAAACATTAGTAAATCGTAATTGTATGTGTATACTAGAGATGGATTGCTTGAAGTTTCAATGAAAAATTGTGATCTATGTGATCTGATAAGTAAAAATTAAAAGGTAGTAATTCTTCATTAAAGTTGGATGAGTATTGTGCTTTACTACTATTATCTGCAGTCGAGAAGCTTTAGATTGAAATATATTGACTTGAAAAAATAATGCTTTTTGCAAGATTTAAAGGTTGAGTTCTAAATTTCTTGTGGAATCTTGGTACACGTTTTTAAAGAGTCTTAAACCAGGACGAAAAGATTATGAAAATTTGAACAAAACAGTTTTTACAAAATTTGTGTGTTGAGTGAAAAAATGAGATTCTAATTGTTAAAATTCTAGGCGCTGAAATTTTTGCAAATGTTAATGCCTTTTAGATATCTATTTTTTCTTTTCAAATCCTCATTAATCGAGCAACCTTCAACATAATTAAATTTCTTTTCTGACCGTTTCTCTTTGGGTGGAGATTACGTTATCTTCTACACGACCTATTTTACGCAAATGTTTATATATATACTTTATTTCTTATAGAATCTACACAAACTGTTTAGGAATGGTTTTATTCTCATTCCAGCAATAATCATGTTACACTTTGCTTCTTTGATGATAATTCTAGGTGTTTTTGTTAAGCAAACAATATAAATAGATTAGGTATTTCAGACCATTCAAAATGAAGATCAGATTGAGCTATCAAAAATTTGTTCATATTTGCACGAATATCCTTATTAAAATAAAAATAATAAAAATTTGTCTAATTGCGAATCTTTATTATAATACTTGTTAGAGGTAATGGCTTTTATTGAAAAGCAATACAAATATTATTGTTAGTTCTTTGTAATAAGCACACAGATTTCTGAGCACATATGATACTTAGAATAAAGCTTAATGACTTTATGTGTTTTGTTTTTATTTGTCTCGATTATAAATGGAATTGATCGACTGAAAAATAGGAACATGGATTTATCTAAACAAATTATTAACGTAATACATACGAAATAACACTAACCCACATTATGGAAGAATTCTACTTATTTTCAAGCTAATTGAAATTGCTTGATCATCATAAATTCTGCTACCTAAAATGAGGGGATGTTTCAATAAATATTAATAGAATGTAACTTTACCATCATAGCAAATTTTCTATATTTGATCGATATAATTAATGAAAGTTTTGCGTAAGGCATTGAAATAATATCATTAGGATAAATTAAAGCGACCGAATATGATAATGTAGCATCGTTTAATGAAAACTAATACTTGAATTTATCAGGATGTGCTGTTTCTTATTATGTTTTAACTTCACGATTTCGCCTCTAAATATGAGCACTACTACTACTACTACAAAGATAATTTTTTACCTCTACAAAAGCTACATTACAGATATTTAGTAAACGATTTCATAATTCAAAGTATTATTAGTGTGATTTTCAGTCACTTTCATATCTGTGAAATTCTACCACTAGACAGTACAGACTATTTTCGAAAGTCACTCATATCGAGCAGTCGATCTTTTTGAGCAAGTAGAAACAATTTAAATGCTGAATAGCTTTTCCCTTGTTCAATCAGCTATGTGCACTTTTATTGCATAGTGTTCAATTTATGTGAATTCATCAGTATATCATAAATTAAGTGATCGATTCGTCTAATGTTTACGAATTACACTTTGATAATTATTCTTTCTACATTGGATAACTATCACCAAAAATATTTTGTCAATATAGGTGTCTGGGACTTAGTCTTTTAGTTTAATTAAACAATGTCTTGCAATCCGCGCCATGATCAACGTACATATATAAAATAATGAACTCTTCCATTGAAAATTAAATGATCACTTCTTTAAATCCACTGACATACAAGTTTTGATATTCATTCAAGTTAACTTATAACATAAAGAGGCAAATGTATACCATGTTGTTGAATACTTGTAATTGAATGATTAGATACTTTTCTAGTAGTGTTTAGGTGATAAGACACAGGAGGAGGATAAATTTTTCGTGTGTTCATCATCTTAGATTTTATGTATAAATACATTGTGTTATAATGAGTTTATTTTAGAAACGATTTGATTATATAAGTTTACAAAAGAAAATTGGCATAAAACAACATACATGATTGTAAACTTCACCTCGAGATATTCCTGATAACATTTCTATTGCTTGTCATTTCCTTTTTTTGCGAACGATGTAGTAAAACTGTACACTTTCATCAAAATCTTTAGAAAAAGCCTCGTATATATAGTGACAATTAATTTCTTTTAATAATTTACCAGTCAGCTCAATCTACTCCAATTCAACTTTCGGTTCTTTAGCTTAGATAACTTTTTTTCAAAACACCTTCAACGACTGTTCTCTAAGCATCCTATTTGGTTTGTGATTGTGATCTACATTAACTGAGCATTGGCTAGTAACCAATATCATTCTTCATAGTCCCTATTGCTAATCGAATTCCTGATCTATCAAATTAAGGTAGTTATTGGTCTAAGTGAGTCGATTTTTCTGAGCAGTTTAATTTGATGTTATTTGGCTAGAGACAATAGGCCGGGAGATCTTTTTCTAAGTTCTCTGCTGTCTGAAACCATACAGCAGCCCGTATTGTCGGTCTCTAGGAAATTGATACCACTCGTAAGATTTGAATGCAAATTACCAGCTGTTACTGTAAATGATCTTCACACTGAACTGTTCAGCTAACATTACTTTTCTGTATGACAAATCAACATTTTATTTATTTTATAAATTATCTCACTGACTTAAAACTTTGCAAAATATCTCAAGAGAACTGAATCAGTTTCTGGCAATTTCCCAAGATTATTCCTGTTCTTCATAATACATTTAAATTATCGAAATGTCCACATTTCTACCAAGCAATAAATTGAGCTAAGTAATGTAGACAAATGTTTAGTGGTTTTCGGTAGTTCTTTAACTAATATAAATTTAATAATGATGTATGTATAGCTTCACTAACTTACAAATATTATTGCACATAGTTTTCATGTAGCTTACTTTACTATCTATTCATTTATATAGCATAATTTTTAACTTTAAACAATATTACATCCTATATTTGTTTGTTATTTTTATTTAACTTATTATCCATGTAGTATGGCAATGTTCAACAAAACTTACAACAAGAAACTCAAAAGAATCAAGATTTAGTAAAAACAATTGAAGTATGTCAGCAATATCGTTTTATTATTTCAAGATATAAATCCAATTATGCAATGCAATGCAATTATTACTCATGGATTAATTTTATATGTTTCTAAAGAAGCTTTCTGATACTGAAGTCTATCTAGATTTGTTGACAAAAATAAGTGTGACTACTGAGTAACAGCTTTGAATGAATTCTTAAATTGCCCCTTTTTTGTGACTATTATGATCTTTTGGTTAGAACTAACATCACTAATGAAATTACGTATTATCATAATGTTTTGTAAATACGAGAATAAGTCCTATCTAGACTTTGATACTTGGCTACCATAACATTATTTTCGTTCTAACCCCCAGGCACTTTAAAAATCAATCTTTCAAGGAAGATTTATTAGGGAAGTCAAAGAAGATTTGTTTAAGCAAACAATCGGTGCGCTTAAACACGTTTCTAATGATGATTTTTGGCATAGGGTAAGAAATTAGTATGCTCGATAGCCCATAAAGCATTAATGAAGTGGGATCATATTATTGTATTAAAAACAAAAAATGTTTTCTGTAGATAGATTGATTACACGCAGAAAAATAGCAATTCAAGTATATTAAACAAAAATAACAACATAATCTGTCAGCAAATAGTTTGTTGATATTGTAGCATCTTTAACATATGGAATATTGATATTTTAACAAGCGATTAAACCTAGGATTTATATTTAGCAAATTCTTGTTGATGGTAAACAGCTTCATATTTAGGTAACTAATATAATATGCCTTTTGAGATTCTCTGTGTTTGTTTAACCCTTCGTTCTATTTTCTTCTCTGTCACACACACTTGTATATATTTAGACTAAATTGCCTTATGGCATTATTTTTCTTAATATACACCATGTCTGAAATTGTTTCGTATAATTTCATTTTCAATTCAATTATATCGTATTCTCTGTATAATAATTAAGAGAATATTATTACAGTTTCAGTCTAAATTGTTTTTATTTTTATAACTATTTCGTTTTATTAATGGTATACATTTAGTATTTATTATACATTTTATCCAGTTATAAACAATCTAGTTAATGATAAACACACAGAGATGCCAACTATGATAATTTTTATTTATATATCCATTCGGCTAAGGTATATGTATTATCTGGTTAACATTAAAAACGTGATCAAACATAATGTAATAACAATGTATGTAACGTAACATAGGTATTCTATTAAATGAATATTTAGAAATACGTTCATCTGTTTATCGGTACCTAAGATCACCTGTTAAACCATTGTTTTGGTTTCATTGTGGTCCTCAGTGCATCTGTGATTATTGCGCCATTCACTTCAGGAGGAACATTATTTTTCAAATACAATTTACAAGTACTACCACTTCGGTTTATGTAACGATTTCTCGGTGATGTTCAGGGACGTTCTAATACGCGATTCTGTTTCAGAGGGAAAAAGAGACTCAGACATAACACACTACTTGCAATAATTTGTTTGTTTCCTTATACAATCTAGGGTTCTCTAAATTAAATAAACTTATTTACTTATCCTTCGCGAAGGGAGCATAGGCCACCGACCATCACTCTCCGTCGAAATCTTTCATGGTCAGTCCTTTCCAGGTGATTTCGATCCCCGACACAATGTGTTCTTTAGTCTTTCTGTTGTCTTTTGACCTTCAGGATTTCAAGTTAGCTCTTGCCTCATGATACAGTTTGATGATTTCTACAACGTATGTCCTATCCACCTCCAATGTATTTTCTTGATTTTTTTCGACTGGAAGCTAGTTTGTTCTATCCCACAGTAGGTTTTTACTGATGGTATCCGACAAGTGGGCATTGAGTATCTTGCACTGACAATTGTTTAGAAATACCCGTACTTTTTGATGATTGTTGTAGTAGTTCTTCCATTTTCAACTCCGTATATTAGAACTGTCTTGATGTTCGTATTGAAGATTCAGACTTTGATATTGGTTGACAGTTGTTTTGAGTGTTAGGTGTACTTCAATTGTAGGAATATAGCCCTCGGTTTACCAATCGTTATCTTCAAATCTGCATCGAATCCTCCTTGTTCATCGATGATACTGCTCAGGTATGTGGGGATTTCACCTATTCCAGAGCCGAATAACACAGATCGAATTCTCGATTACAGTTGTAACAACCCAAAACCTCACAAAATCAACTGCATACAAACTTTTTTAAAGAGGATGAAAGCACACTGCAGCACACTTGTAGCGTGGAAAATAGAAGAAAAATATCTAATGACCATCCTTCAAAAGGATGGCTGTCCACGCAACTTGATGAAAAAATGTCAACTCAACTCTTCAGCAGGAACTAAATCAAGTACAGAAACAAACAAATGGATCATCCTACCATATATAAAAGACAGAAAATTACAAGACTATTGAAGCCGTTTAGAATATATGTAGCACACAAATCTTGGATAGAGGAAATATCAATGCACCAGAGGATTTTTAGAAGTTTTGCACTTAGATTAATCAGCAATCGACAAACGTATTGAAATCGATCTAATCCATCAACCAGTTAGAAAAATCATGGACAAATATTGGACGAAGAATCAAATCGAAGGAAGATACAATCAAAATAAAGAGGTGGACATGACTGGTGTAAGGTTGACAGGACAATTGGTGAGTCATATGTGGAGAAATTCGAACACTCCACTTCTGTCCGGGGTTTATGCTGATGATGTCGTTCATAAGAACAATGAAAGCTCCACGACCAAATCATTTAACTTAGAGAACAGAACTCCATCTAAATCATCCAACTGAGCTAAAAATCTTCGATATTTCAAGTGATGATGATGGGCTTCTCACGTACATCATAATGTCGAAGAAGGATCCACAACATTCGTCAAACGCTTTCTCATAGTCAAGGAAGTTGATGCATAGTGACAAGTTCCATTTAATTGATTGTTCAACGATAATTCAGATTGTTGCGACCATTCCTTGCGGGATAGAGCTTGTTTATCTTGAAGTTGATCTGCTACTGATTCAGTCGATCAACACTGTCGAAAACTTTTCCTGGTACTGATGGTAGTGTGATACCTCTCTAGTTCACATATTTTATCTGGTATCTTGACGAGGTGTCGTTTTTTCCAGTCTGTCTGTGACATTCTTTCTTCCTCTTAAAACTTCTTGAATAGGATTTGGATCATCTTTGCACTTACATTAACCTTATAAAGGCTCTCTACTGGAACACACCAGGTCGAGTGAGAGCTTATGGCGAACTGCCATCAGAAATAATTCCTTCAAGTGGTGTTCGTCAGCGATGTCCACTCTCGCCATTCTTGTTTAACTTTATCGTAGACGTGCTTTTACAAATGATACTTTCCTCATTTGAATTTCCAGGGGTTGAACTTCTACCGGGAGATTCACTTTTTGATGAACATGCTAACAAAATGAGGAGTCTTACGACCACTCTAAGCAACAATGCAGGCATGTTCGGGATGCGCTTCTCCCCCTCAAAATGCAAAATGTTGTTTCAGGATTGGGTTGCATCGACATTCGAACTAACGATAGGGAGTGAAGTAGTTGAGCGTTTCGACCGCTTCACTTATCTTGGGAGTCTCATCAGCCCTTGTGGTCTGGTGTGTGACGAAATCTCGGCGCGGATACAGAAGGCTCGGCTAGCTTTTGCCAACTTGCGTCATTTATGGCGTAGGCGAGATACCCGTCTTCCAACCAAAGGACGTGTTTACTGTGCAGCACTTCGTTCCGTCCTAGTTTATGGCAGTGAAACATAGCCGTTAAGAGTAGAGGATATTCGTAGGTTACTAGTATTCGATCATAGGTGTCTTCGAAACACTGCTCGTATGTCCTGGAACCATCGAGTAAGTAACACAGTTGTTAGAAAACGGGTACTAGGTAAGAATGGCAAATCAATTGATGAAGTAGTGAAACTTCATCAGTTGAGATGGCTGGGACACGTGTTACGTATGCCCATGCATCGACTACCTCGACGTGCTATGTTCAGTGGTATAGGAGTAGGTTAGAAGAAAGCTAGAAGCGGCCAGACCAAAACATGGCACAAGTCATGAAGTCACTGACAAGTGAACTGAGTCATTTTGGTAAGTGTAGACTACCTGGTTGGGATCCGCGAGACGATAGCAACCGATGGTTAGAGACCCTGAATGACATGACTCGAAATCGTTTGCAATGGTGCAGGTGCATCCACTCTTTGTGTTCTCACAAATTCTCATCTTCTGAATTCATGTACCGTTTTTCCGCTTTCCAAATTTACTTCACTGGATTATACTGTTTGAATAACATCTTCAAACCCTAATGTTTCCGATTACTGCCTTCAATTTTACTATCTCTACCACTACGGGATTTGAATCGACAACTTCATCTTTGTGCTAATGTGGGATGGCAACTCGAACTGGTGTACGTACGTACGGAGTTCTACGTTGTTACTGACTGACTGACTACATCTATGTCTGACTGTAGTACTACAGCTGGTATTTTGTCAGATCCTACTGCTTTCCCACTGTTGATTTGTCTGATGGCCGTCCTGATTTCTTCGATCGTTGTTTGAGTGATAGCTATGGAAAGGTGTGTGTTGTTTGGATGTCTGATGGGTTGAGTGGGACTGGTCTATTCAAAAGTTCTTCAGAGTGTTAAACCCATCTGTTCCTTTGTTCTTGAATCTCTGTGATTTGCTTGCATTCTTTCTGCTTTACTGGTCGATCTGGTTTACTATATATCACTGCTAGTTTCTTCGTTGTGTCATATTGTCATGTGATATTTCATTTTGATTCAGTCTTTTCAGCTGTGGTTGGTAGGTGTTCCATGTATTTTTTTCTTGTCGGTTGTAATGCTCCTCTCCACGTACTTGTTCGTTTCTGTGTATTCGACGTGTGCCATCGCTTTTTCTGTTGTTGTTCGACTATTGTTAATTGTTTCCTTCCTGACTTCCTGTATTGTGATCGAGTGATACACAAGTAGCCTTGTGTATGTGTTTGTGTGGGAATGTGGTGTCACCTTCAATCATTTTGTTTGGGACACATACATTTGAAAATTTATCACCATTCTCGTTTCTTTCTCCCAGTCAATTGATGTAACTCCACGATATCTTTATGCTCGTTGTTGTCCATTCCGACTTTGGTGTTTAGATCTCTCGTCAGGGTTGTGAGTTCATTTCCTGAGCATTTCGGTATTATCGATTTCCGACTTTCACAAGACTGATCTTTATCGTCTTCATTGCTATCATTGATAGGTGCATAACACCGAACAACATTGATTGTAATCCTCTGCTTCGTTTTGCTGAATGATTTGGTGATGTCGATCCTGTGAGTGGTTTTCGTGATTCATTGGACGCTTTCAGTGCAACTCCGTGGGTGTGTGGAAGATTTTCTCATTCATGAACCGAATACAACAGCATCTTTTCTGAACTCTAATCTTTTCTGTCCATCTTTGATATAATGGGTTCCAATTATTCCGAACACATCCAAGTTCAATCTCCTCATTTCTGCAGCTATTTGACTCGTCTTTTCAATCTCCAACATTGTCCGGACATGTCATATACCTATATTAATTGTTGCTCCGATCATCAGAAGGAGAATTAGCCTCGTAATTTGCTGGGAATCTTGACTTTCACTACAATGTATTATAACTCTTATGGATGAATATCCTTCAAATTGTAGGCCAGAGTTTAAATGATAAAATTATTTATTATGGTTGCATTTTTAATAAGTTTGGTTTCTGCCGAGTGGTATTTTTGATTTCATTCTGAATCCTCTGGTCTTGGGATCACCAGTCACCCTGGTAGGGCTACAGACGAAGTTAAAATAAATTTAATTGATTGATTCTTGCTTTTCTACTCTAGGATCTCCGTCACCACCAAATGTCCTCATCACTAGGTGAAGTTGAATCGCTTGTTTCTGGAAGTCGAACTGAAGAATCGATCGATCAATGTTTAAAACTACAGTATCAATTGAATACCTATGAATCAAAATCGGAATCTGTAAATACTGAGAAAGATCAACTTACTGTAGAGGTTTGTGCCGTTTTCAGTTTTAAAAATCAGTTATGAAGTGAATTACTTATTTGTTTATTATGAAACTTATTTATTTTACTATTGGTTACAATATAATATTTACTAAATTGATTATTCGTAGTTCATGTTAATAGTTGTGCTTGTAGTGTCATTTTAGAGAAATAAGCATCTCTCAGTTAGAAATAGAAAGATAGATGACAGTCCTAATGTATGTCATTCGTTTACATCCTGAGGTCATTGTTTACCATATATTCACAAAATCTCGCTAAAATTTAGTTCGAAATGAATTGATTAGTGAATGAATAAAACTTATTTGATATTTGACTTTATTGTTAATGACTGTGTTTATGCTTTATAAATGGGCAAAGAAGTATTTATAAATATGTATAAAAGTTAATTTGGTACATAAAATGACAACTGTGGCTTTTAAATAAATGTTCCAGTAGTTGGCCACTAATTCACTTTGATTATTTTGATCATTTGTGTGATCCTATGACGTAAGCTGTGGCGCTTTATCTCCTTAATGAAACTATCTCTAGACTCAAATACTCTGTGACTTGAGAAGAATAATCTGTCGTCATTAAAGGTACTGGGATCAGAGATAAAATGAATGTTTTTCGATACCGTTTTTAAAAATTAGTGGTCAAAATAATTTTTCAATAAACATGACTAATCACAATTCAATTTGAAATAGATTGTATAATCCCATTGTATATATTTTTGATTGAAATTCGATCAGTATTAGTTGGCATATGTGCATCCCATGTGGATTACCTTAGTATGGTCATTATGACACAAATTAGTATTGGACAGATGAAATATTACTAGCAGTGGAATCTAGCACACACATTTCGCTCTATGTATAATAGGTCAGCCGGATGTTTTGATGAAATTTTAATCGAAAATATTTACAATGGGATATTTCAATCTTCAAACTAGAAAGTTTACAAATCTAGGGAAAGCAATAAGATAAAAGGTCTATACGACTATACCAGAACGACCATCGATCGAACTGTTGAATTAAAAATCAGGGAAACTTGAATTTTCTGTCTACAACTTAAGAGAAAATAGTGGAGATTGTCTATGGTCAGTACCTCTATGCATCACAGCTGACTGTATCAGAATACCCAATACGTGACTTTGCGTATATTCAGCATTATTTCGTAATTCTATCAAACGTTTTATATGATTATTTATAACTCAATGAAGTTAGTAGCCTATTAACTCAATCTGTTTTGGAATTTTGATCAAACTTCTTTAGTATAAACTTAAGGGTACAAAATGGACCACTACGTTACTTACATGTGATCTGGGAATCATGAAGCTATAATTACGTAACTAACAAGCAAATGGATAGAGGTCAAAAACCTTAGAGATAGAAATATTTATATCTAAATGTTTTATTGAAATTCTTTTTGTCTAAAGAATCTGACACTTTTTTTTCTTACGATTAACCAGAGAATTGGTTTCATTCACGTTTATGATTATTATGGATATGTATCTGCAGTCAAGATAAAATACATACTATAAAAACAACTCAGTATCTTGATCACAGCCTCATCCCATCGAATTGTTTATGCCTTTACTTATTCTTTGTTAATGAAGTCAAGCAACCTTAATATTAATAAAATTTTATCAATTATTGACCTGAATCGTTCGTTCAGTTATAACATGTTTAATTACAGCACTGGGAAATTCTCAAAGACATTTGTTTCAGTCAACCAACTATGGATTTAAATCTTGTATCTTGTGAATTAAACAACTAACAGTAGATTGTTTCACATGTTAGTGTTATGGTACATATAGTCTGAACTGACTTTTTTTCTTTCATTGATTCAGCTATATATCATGAAGTACTTATTAAATTACCATCTGATATCTATCTGTACCTCTGGTGTTAGTTATGTATCATTGTTTTTTATATGTATTTTTGGCTAGTATACACAAACCATTTTATCCATTAAGATTATCAGTTTCTAAATTGTAATTTATTCATATTTAGCTTACATCCATACATCTACATTTATCTGTTACACATAATGATTATTCAATAATTTTTTTCTTATTTACAAACAATTCTTTGTGTTTCTCATTGTCGCCTTATAAACGCATTGAAGTCATTTCATAGTTCTGTTAAACTACTAATTTCTATTAATTTGTGTCATTGAGTTTCTCTTGTATGGAAACTCTAGCTTCCTTTAAAATTAGATTAATGTACAATCTTAAGATAATTAGTCTAGTGTTTTACCTGTATGTACACACTCCCTAAGTAATATCAAATATCCGAATTTTAATTTTACTTAAATTTCATTGTGAATTGATTTATTAGTATATTATAAAGTCAATCAAGCAACTGACCATCATCATCTTCAAGTTTCTTTTCTGTGACCAATTCTTCCCAGAATAACCTAAATCTCAGCAGAATAAGGGACAGTGTTTAGCAAACTAACTTCAAATACATACTGATTTAACAAGGTAATATACTCATTTTTGAAATAAACTAGTCATAAATACAGATGATAATCTAGTAGTTCAGTGCATGTGTGAAGTAGAATTTTTAGTGTTCCAGTGTATACTGTTTATTTATGGCATAAGTAGCGCGATAATTTATTTTTAATTTTTTTCACCAATTTGACTTCGAATCAAGGAAATAAACAATATAGAGGAATTTCACCTTTACTTCTTCAGTACACAATAGTTTGCCTTTAAATCTTGACGTGGTCTGAATGTCATTCGCTTTTCGTAAAAATCGTGTTGTGATAATCAAAGTATGAATTACATATTTCCATGACTATTCTTTCTAACGACTAGTTTTTAAAATGATTCTATGTTGCTTATATATGTTTGCTTGATTATAGACGATATGTCTATATAGTGAATTGTTAGGTGATATTTGATAGATTTCAAACATTTTTAGCTACATTTGTGAGTGGAATCTATTTTAAAGACATCTCTATACAGTCAAACCAAAACGTAACATTCCTCAGTTTATTGTTATTTTAGTCTGCGACGTTCTGGAAACTAGTAGATCTTCTGTCTGAAAAGCATGAAATTATAAGAGCAAATAACTGGCAAACTAGTATGTTGTATTTTGTGTTAACTAACATGATTCATATAATATAATCACTTCATTTTATGTTGTTAAGATCTGATTTACCATCATCTTTTGCTTCTGTTTCCTTACATCATTCCTTGTATTTAGTCTAATATTTTCGATTATTTGAAAAAGAAATCTTTTCGAATTTCGACCACATAATTCTATGAATACTATTGTTTAAATATACATTATTCAATTTTCCATAAGCTAATCATTACATAAAATTGTAGCTCTTGTGTTAATTATATTTGGCTGTATGAAAACGACTTATTTTATTTGTGCTTCAAAGCGAAGCGTTACTTGTTGGAACTTGAAGACAGTTGATGTTCAATATCAAAGATACAATTGGTATCACTAAAATTATATATGAATTTATACTGGGAAGAAGTTATTTATAACTATTCTCATATCTCTTTATCATTTTTTCTTCTCTATCATTCTGACTAATATACAAATGATACACAATAAATGTCATGTGATTCTTATTCCTAGTGTGTATATAGTTACTATTGGAAATATATAGAATATTTATGATTATCATATTTGTTTAATCATTTAAACCTTACTGTAGAAAAAAAGGAACTCTTACAAACATAGTAAACTTAAAAATAATCTAATTGAATGATAATTTACTGAAATAAGCAATATGATGATAATGATGCTACACAGAAAGTGATATATAGTTATCTCATTAAAAAACCTCATTTGAAAAGTAAAACATTCAGTAGTTTTGTGGTATGTGCTACTTATGTTGACATAGGTAGTATATGATGTTAGTCATGAACAGAATGTCTGGCAGCAGAGTGACAAGAGGATCAAACAGTAAAGAATGGAACAGGATGCAATTTGTATAAAAATGCAAGAACACTGGAGTCTGAGTCACTATGAGACAATTGGTGGACATTTTGCAACTTAAGCATTTACTTTATGATTGTTAGATTGTATTAAAAAGTCCTGTAATTTTGTGTTAAATACATTCGATTGTCTCCACTGGTGGAAAATTGGAATCTTGTTACTAGTTAGACTTTTTCAATGAAATCTGTAAAATGTAGGTCTATTGATTACTATTTCTATCATTTTTTATTTCTATATGTCTAATTCTCTTATTATCCTTGTAATTTTATCTGTTTGTTTTGTTCAATCAAACATTACGTAATAGAATTTAAAATTGATACCAAACTTATTTTATCTTTACTCTTAAGTGCATATCTTTCTTTCTATTTTTCTTAATATATATTAACTTGAAATGTGTTTATTCCTTTTGATCATTCAATTAAAATGATGACTGTAGCAACTGATGCGAATTTACGTCAAAAGTGTGTTCTTTGTCTAAATATTTTATAGTCAAATCTTTTGTTAACTTCACTCATAATTATCTTGTAAATACTAATTTGATTTATGTCTAAGAGATTTTTACAAGAAAGTAAAAGATAACCGATAAACAAACGTTGAAGTGATCGAATCAGTATGAGATATCAACGTATGAAGTCATTAAATATAGGTTAATGAAGACCTCTTGGTTGTGAATAGCATAGTTAATATTTGGATATCATAATTGAAAGGACTAGAAATTGATTGTAATGTCTGAGTTGCTCTCTTTATCCTTGTTTTAAATACTGAGCTTCAGTATTATTTTATATCTTTCAGTTGATTATCTAATTACCTCTTTTTATATCTTACTTTCGATGATTAGTTTTTTTCACAACCATAGAAGCTGGTATTACTGTGATTCACTCACTAATAAAATGTTTAATTTCATCACACTGTGATGACTTGATCTAGTGACCTTAGGAGGTGAACGTTTTTACCAAGCCGTAATTTATTTTTACTAATTAACGAAAAACTAAGCAGAATGATTTTCGTGGTTATTTAGTTAATAGTTAGTGCATTTAGAATACTATTTTGCGCGTCATAGCAACGAAAGTCTATTATCCCATCATTTCACTGATAAAACGTAACTAAAATAATCTGATTAATTGATTGTTAATTTCAGCTTTCAGAAAGTCAACAATTATTAAAGGATTCTGAAATGAAAATTTCCAAATTAACTAATGAATTGCAAGTTTTAAATGATCAACTTAACCAGGAGAAGTTATTTGCAGTCAGGGGAAATGATACATGCAACGGAAATACTTTCACACATATTGTTGGTGATGATAAAGATTGTAAGAATGGCGAATTAACAATGCATTTAGATAAATTTAAACAAACGCTTTTAACAAATACCGTTGAGCAGGTATTATCTGTATTACAAAGTAATCAAACTATTGGACAATCACCTGAATTTATAGAAGTGTACATACATTGTTCTCCAAGTGAGTTTTATCTTATCTTTTATTTCTCCTCTATATTCATACGATCTCGTCAATTCGATCTGTAGTCTGATTCTTTAACATTTTGCAGAAATTGTATGTCAGAAAATCTTAGTTTTTATAATGTTGATAGGTCGAATTTGTTGTTGCATATTAACAAGATCAACTATACATGATTCCAATCAATGTATGGAGAGTGTATGGTTTACTCGGAGAATTATTCACTAGGTTCTTGATCCAAAATTTTTATTTATAAAGAAGGACGATAGCGTCAGATGAGGCATTAATGTATTGCACAATAAATAAACGAGTTTTATATTGTCTTATTTTTTCGAGATCCTAAAAACTGTGTGAACCACTGATTTGAAAGTAGGATTTTCCTCTCCTTTACATTGAGACTTTTCACTCACCTATTCGACTTAATAATTGTAAATCACATCTCAAGATTTTCTGAATCACTATCGCTACATGATTATACGAAGACATTTTCCACCCTCTATTGTATAAGGCTTCAAATAACATACCTTTAAAGATATTGAATTATACCTCTATGTTTCTGTCAATCTTGAACAGTTAATATCATTGTATCTATTTTTCTTATTTATTAATGCCTCTGTTTTCATTTCATCACTAATGTTTATAATTACTTTGATTTTTTGTTATATTAACAAATTACTATTTTGGTGGAGTTTTGTTCTCTGAGCTGGATGGAAAACAAATCAAACATCATCTACAAGATAAATTGTGCCAACTGCGAAAAACACTACATCGGACAAAGTGGACGCCCCCTTTACCTTCGCCTACATGAACATCAATTAGCAGTCAAACGGCATGATATCTCTTCACTTATATCAATACACGTGGACAACTGCGGACACTCATTCGATTGGAAAAATGTGGAAATCTTAGACAGAGGAAACTCCAAAAACACCAGAGAATTTTTAGAAGCCTGGCACTCAGGTCAATCAGCAATCAACAAGCATATTGAAATCAATCCAATTTATCAACCAATCAGAAAAATCATGCACAAACATAAGAACAAAAATCAAAACAATGGGAGACACAACCAAAACAAAGAAGTAAAGAACGACAAATTTAAGGTCAATAAGAACCAATCAACGTTGAGGTGCACAGAACAAGCTTTGAGACACATATGGAGAAATTCAAATACTTCACTTCTATCTGAAGTTTGTGCTGATGATGTCGTTCAGAAGAACGATGAAAGCTCCACGACCAAACCATACAGCTCAGAGAACAAAACTCCACCAAAATCATCCACCTGAGCTACAAATTTTCTCCACCATCTCAAATTACTATTTTGTCAGTAAATTCAAATGTGTTTCGTTAGTTGACGTATTTGCTTTCAAATTCAATAGTTTCTAAATATCTAATCCTTTTAAAAAGTATATAAATTATTACTGTCAAAATATCTTTACAATAGGCTAGTAAATTTGTTCAACGAGTTGAAATCAAAATATCATGCGCTACCTAATATTCATTTTGTTTTGTTTTGTTTATTTTTATTTTAGCGTACTTTTTAAATCATTTATCACAAGTTACTAACTATTTTAATTTATTTGAATCTGCATTAACTGACTACTTGTCTGATAATGAAAAAGGTAATAATTATAAAATCATTTGTTTTTATTTTTCAAATTATAATTATTTATTCATTAGTTCTTTAAATATTCGAATTTGTTTGATGGATCACAACTGAAAAATATTAAATGTTAATTTTGGATACGTATATAATTATAGCAACCTGTATTTTTGAATTGAATGAAATTTCTCCCTTTATGTTAAACTTGTCTTTAGATCATAGTATTATAAAAAAAAGATGAATCTTTGTGTTTTATTTCATCAGTGTTTCTTCACTTCACGAATATTCTAAAATAAACAACAAAGATGGAAGAAATATCAAAATGTTAATTAGAAAATAAATAAAAAAATATTTGATGAATAAGTGGTGTAGTGACTTAGTGTTTTCGGAGTTCATCCCTTAACCATTAATTCTCGTGAACTAACGCCACTCCATCTACTCCGGTTAATGTACTTTTTTAGTATCAAATGTCCTCATAATTATTGTGGCTCGAAGCTTGGTACAGAAATATGTTTTTTGTAAATAAGTTGAATCAATTAATTAATCTGTGTCTCAGTCGTAGGTATAACATTGACTTATTTATTAAGTTTTAAACAAATTTAAAAAGTTGGTTACATGAAGTTTGTTATTAAAAGAATTTGGATATCATAAGTGCAAGTAACTAATGAAATGAGACTCAAAAGATTCACCTATTTTTATATTTACATATATTAGATGTACGTTTCACTCAAGTGTAATTGATACAATTTCATAATTTCATCACGTAGTATGAACCATTTAACGTTTATCATTTATTTGAAGTATATACAACGAAATCTTTTAAGGTTTATGATTTCGGCAATTTATTTTTATTTATCATCTCTCGAAACAAATTCGATATTAGCTAGCGATCTAGTTAGACAAAAAACCTGGACCCACCACTCTCTGAAGTTATAGCCTCACAATCACTTCACATCAAATGAAGTACCCTGTGATACTAAATTACTTAAACTGATAATGGTCACGTTACAACTTGATTAATTAAATTTCACCAGACACTAACTAATTACTTATATAACATTGGTTACTATTCATTGGCATACTTTGCTGATAAGTAAAAATTAGCATGGAACATATGTTTGGAGTTTCCTGATAACTGTGTACCATGAAATAAAACGTGCAACTATATCGAGTCATTTCATTTAGTTGTTACATTGAGAATTGATCAATATTGTTTGACCATCATTACGTTCTAAACAAACGTGACATTAGTTAGTGTTTAGTCAGTAATAAATGTAAAACATATCGCCTAAACTAGATTTGGGGATGCCACTTATTACTCTTTACTTCATGATTGTTTTAAGTTTGTATTACAGTGTACTAGAAGTATAATAAAACAATTTTTAATTTACTATTCATTGTTTATAAATTTGTATATTTTAACAGGATTGATTCAAACTTCATATTATATTGGTCAGCTAAACTCTCAGTTATCATTACTATCTCTCTTCTCTAAATCGATACGTCAATCAAATGTTACAAGTGGTTCTTCATGCAGTAAGTGATTGTATTCATATTATTCCTGGTACTTTATCTCATCTAATATTGTTTGTGTCTAACTTAGTGTGTTTTTAGATTCTGAAAAGTGTGGATTGATTAAATTCTCCTTGCAAACACATAAGTATACACCTCAATTGGATTTTTCCACGTCTTTGAAAATTAAGTATATTTTAGTCGTTCAAAAAAGTCATCTGGGTTTCCTTTTTTCTGTTTTCCAAGAAATTTATGTGATTTATTATACATTCTATAATATTAGTAATGAATGGCGGTCTGCTTGAATAGCTGAACTACCTGTTCCTGCCATGTAGATATTTCAACATGTTATCTGTTTTTGGTTGTTTTAACACATGATTTTGTCTGTTAATCGTATGGCCTATTCAGGTACGTTAATGAAAAGCTAACAGCCTTTCGCTGTACAATTTGCAAAAAGTACAATCAGAGACGTTGTGGTGGCTGGCAGTATTCATTGAAAAGAATGAACATTATTCAGATGTTGATTACTGAACTGCTCCCATCTAACTGGCGATCACTAATTGAGACGATGGACTGTCTTCAATTCCTACGAAGCCTAAACATGTATCGTAACTGTGGTGTAATTACAATTCCAGACTCCTGGTTAAATGATTTACCAGATGCCTACTCAGCATCACTACAAGATTTCCATATTTGTTGTCAGAATCGACCAAGAACTCTATAGGTTATACTACATAACGAAAATTGAATAACTTTGATACTGCTGTTTTATAACAAAATATCTAGTAGTGAAATATGAATAATATGTAAAGTTATGTTGAAGTTTGTATTGATATTCTTTTGACAATAAATTAAATAGTTTCATTAAACGATGAAATGAAAGTGGCATAATTGTAATATTCTGTAAACTTTTAATAAAGATTATCACAGTCCTATTCAAGTATCAATAGTTATCACCAGGATAACTCATTAAAAAAAGTCTTTTGAAATAATTTGGTTTATAATGGTTTAGATAATTTCTTTGTTAATATTTTGACAGAATTTTGATGGGTTTCAGTTGGCAAATGTACATTCTGTGTATATTGCCTTGATATAGCTATTATAACACAAGCTTATATAAAATAGATAGCATGTGATTAGCAGTGGAATCCAATTCAATACACGTGTTTCTTCTCATGAAATAGACTTATAAAGCTAATTTTGTACTAGTACAGTTATAATCATAATTTATAAAAATTCAGTTAGTAATGAACTGTCGAACTATTGGCGAGACTATAATTTATGGACGAGCCAATCAGAAGCCTTTGAGAGATTCCGAGGTCACGGCGCCAACTCTAGTACTTAATGCTAACGTACGATCGGTTCATAGGGGATTTTATACAAACCGTAATAATTGAGCGGCTATAACAAATAAACCGGCGAGATTATGATTTGTGGACGAACCAATCAGGTATAAGATAACAGATCTCGGATTTTGGCGCGAGTCTTTCATCCATTTAGCTTAATAGAGTTTTGGCACTATACCTGATGTCAGTTCGTAATAGAAACCCTATATATAATTCCTAACTAAAGCAAATTATGACAATTATTGCGAACTTGATAATAAAAGCACGATTAACACTGGCTGCGGCCAGATACTACAAAATATACGGATGACCGGAGAGCGTACAGACTCCTACATAGGCTTGGTTAGGTGCATCGTGTCGTCATTCACAAATGGCATTTTGTGTGCTCAACAACCGGAGTGCACACAAACAATATTAAAGCTATGTGGTCGAGGCTGAAAGAGTTTTTGGGACCCCATCGTGGCTCCAGAGGCCGACTATTCTGTAGCCATATGGATGATTTCCTCTACTGCATGGATTACGGTTTTAGAACCCCTGAACTTCTTTCTAACCTTGACAAGTTTTTGAACCGTGTACAAGAGGTGTATCCACTTTATTTCCTTGGTTTTGTATAACATATTTTTACTCTGTACTGACTGTTTGCTGATTGGCTAATATTTCTCAAGGTCGCTTAAGATTCGCTCAAAGGTAGTTCATAAATTATAGTCTCGCGGATGTATTGGTTTATCGAACTTATTTTACTAATGTATGGGAGCACTTTGACCGTTAGGCTACTCGATTTTAAACCATGGAGTATTTGATTCAAATTCCACTCCATCTGTTTCCTTAATTCATTTGAGTAGGATGCCAATATGAAACTGGTCAATTGCAGTCCTAAGTAGCAATAGGAAAATATGAGTAAAACAACACTAGGTGAATTTAAATAGAGCAAGAACAAACATTGATGCAGAGTAGTATGAATTCATATTATTTCGAGGTTTCTCGTCAGCTGCTTACAAACCAAAATTGTGATAGAATTTTTACATGGAGATAGTGTGAAACAATGGACATAAATGAGTGTAAATAACTTGATTACAATAATAACTATATATATATGCTAGAAACTGGTCAGAGGTCAAAAGAGGGGGGTTAATCCAGGGTGGGTGGTGTAATAATTTAGTGAAGTTCATAAATTGTGTGATAATTGTAGACATTAATGGAATTAAATAATGATAGGGTAGATTGCGTAATAATAATTAAATAGGGTTTGGAAAGGATCAGGTGGTGGAAATGTGTGAATAAAATTTATTTTAAGAATTAGGTAATAGAGGGGGAGTATAAAATATCTTAGAATAAGTAAATGAATAAAATAACCAAAACACAAAACAAACAGAAACAAAAGGACTACCAGGGTAGTGATAAGTTTATTAAAGTCTCTTTTTGGATGCATAGGTCCGGTTTCACTTTCTTAATTGCAATGGCTTCAGCAAAGCGGAGAGCGGTATTAGTTTTTTGTCTATTAATAATTTTAAACGCGCGCATAGTATCGACGGTATGCCCGGTGTCAAGTAGATGCCGAGCTATTGCCCTGTTAAAAGCTTTAGTCCCTCGCAGCGTCAAGTTCTTCGGAATATGCTCAGAAATGCGAACCTGTACCCTTCTCCCAGTTCTTCCAATGTATGTGCTACGGCACGTACATGTGAATTGGTAAATGCAGTTGGAGCAACTGAGGGGAGAGGACTTGTCGATTTTCGTTTGTTTCAGTGAGCAGTATGTTTTCCATAACGTAGTCAGTTTGGCTGCCGGGTAGGTCACTTTTAAAGCGGAATCAATTCTGTGATTGATAATTCCGGCGACTTCATCTCCTTTGAAGCGCAAGGATAGGAAGCAGGTTTTCTTTTCAACTGTATCATGCTTAATCGGAGGGTTTGTATTAGCATATTTGTGAATGAATTTATCCGGATATGCATTTTCATGTAGGCATTTGGTGATTGTAGTAATTTCTTCTTCGAGGCATTCTTTTGAGCAGATTTTTCGTGCGCGGTCATACATTAAATACTTCATTTGAAAATTTTCCATGAGTTGTCCGTTACATTCTCCCTCATTCTTCCAATTCTCTTTTTTTATGTTTCCCTTTCTCTTTTCTTCAGTTTATTCTCCTCAACTTTTTGCTCCCAGGCATTCCATTTCTGATTTGTGTTGCGTACTACTTATAATACATATTTGTGGCTCTAAATATATGGTTTTCCATTATTTGTTTAGCATAAGATCTATCTTAGAACTGTCATTTGTTATTTTTTGATAACTAGCTATTTTATTTTATTAACGGTGATAAATAGTAGTGTATTTCAAACAAAATTATTGAAATTAGATATCCCAAGTAGTTTGTCGTTAACATCTTTGGTCCCAACACTGGCTGACACGTATTCGCTACTGTAGAGAAACACATCAGCATTACACAAACCTGATAAGTTCATTGACAGCTGACTAGTGAGTTATTCATATTTCCTTTTTTTCATACTAACATTATGAAAGCGGTTGAACTTCTCTAAAGTTTCGGAATATATATAGAAACTTGTCCATTTATTTTTGCTTCATAAAATTCTGTTATGGATATCTGGAGACGATAAAATGGTACTGACAATAATAATTATGCAACAGTGTATTAATCGACGCTACATATAAGTTTGTGCCATACAATTTGTTTCCTTGATAATCTAGTTTCGAGTTTTTTTTGTTTAAGTGAAAGTTTGTCATAATTTATTCTTATTTTCAAAATTTTTTTACATTATAGACTGTTTACATAATTTAGACTTAATTCAAAGTGAATTTACGGAATTACTTAATGTTCTGCTACAAATCAACAGTATTAATCAGGATCATATAAATTATAATAACGATAAACACAGTTATTTCAATCAAATCAAAGAGCATTTATCTAAGATTCATAATCAGTTAAAATCTATGTTTATTGAAGTAACAAATTTATCGAACTCTCTGTCGAATGATTACAATAATCATGACATTATGTCGTCGACTGATGTGATACAGAAAGAAATGGAAACCACTTTTCAGGCTATCACAGCTGCAGAACAGAAATTCCAGGTAATCATCTCTTTTTCATCAATTTATGAACTGGGGCTAGCAGTGAGATCCAGATTGCTTGTTCCATCTTGTTCGGGATTCTTCAACTAAGTATGTTTGGATCCCGATGTTGATGTTCATACTGATATTCAAACCCAGCAACTCGCTTTTAAAGGTTACACTTTATCAAACAATATACATTTCGTTTTTTTTTACTAATTAGAATGCTGAATTCAATCATCATTTAGTCACATACCTCGTTTATTTCCATACTTATTGACGCTCATCAATGAGACATTTCTTTAATACTGAAGATACTCGTTGTTTATTGTTTGAGATTATTATCGAAACTGTTCATTAAAATGAGAATTTATACTTCGACTTAATATGAATATAACTTCACGAAAGACGTAATTTCTCTAACTAACATAAATAATGTATTGATGTTGAACAATGTCACGTAGAGACTCTAGCTACTAATTTCTGACATCCCAATCAATTGGTCATTAGTCCAGTTTAACCATCCTTGATTTCGTTTACCTTGTATGTATATCGTGGAACTTATTACCATTAGTTATTAAAATTAGTTGGGATTTTTCAAAACTTCAACTTTATATGTTAACATATTCTTTTATTTTAGGGATTAATTGAGGAATCTAAAAAAAATTCAATCAACAATGAAAATCTTCAAGTGAATTCACTTATATTAGATTGTTGTTCTGAACTGTTACTTTGTGTTGGTGATCTAGTGAAACAATCTAAACTGATTCAACAAGAGTTTGAAGTATGTATATCTGTGTATACTTTTATCGATTTGGTTACTTTTACACTTTTGTTTTATATATGATGATTATTATATTTTGATGTAAATCATTTAGCTTACAGATTCTTTTCTTTTTAAATATTTGTGTTTATTAGTTGTTGATTGATAAGTTGACATATTTTAAATTGATTTGAAACACTGAGGTGTATTGTATTATCCTAATATTATGGTTTTCACCTTATAGGTAATTCGGAAAACACTGAAAAAATGGTATGTTTAAAAATTCCTCATTTAGATGATTTTAGAGAAGAAAACACAAAAGAAACCATAATAGGTTGTAGTGTTAGTTTGACTGGAAAGTTGTCATTATCATTCTCTAGTCATCATCTACGCCTGTTGTGATATGAAGTAGCTTAGAGGATACAATACCACTAAAACATCTACCAGAGCTGCAAATCTCTACTGGTTATTATACCATTAATTCATTTGAATAGTTAAATTTTGAGTCACTAGCGATTGAGGTGTTTGAAAATTTACTTTTTAAAGCTTTGACGGCGTAAGTTTTAGAGCTTACTAGTAATAGTTATCGTAGGTATTGGATAAATATATACCGGTTCGAGTTACAATTGGGACAGTACGAGAGAAAATTAACTAGATGTAAGACGACAACACTAACCAAATAATAGGTAAAAACAAGTGTCTAAGAATGGTGATCAGTATCCGTCTTATTTTACTGCAGATCAAGTAAAATTGTAATTTCAGTCTATTAAAATCTGGTCCAATAGTTGAATGATTATATATTTCTATGAGAAATAAGCGACGTGTCATGAGTCTTGTGAAGTGTGTTTGTATAAAGAAGTTTAGCGTTATGATAAACTTGGGAGCCTGTTACATCTGAACGAAGAATAAATGAATGGTAACTGCTAGGGATTATTTATTGAATGTTATTACATATATTCTTATCGGGTAGCTATTAAGTAACTACATTATATGTATATTCATATTACTTTTATCAATAACTTTCATCTGGTCTATTGGTTACTGTTATACGATTCTTAATTTATTCCCAATTTATTAGTTAATATCTCCCATACTTAAGACCAGTAGTCATAACACAGCTGTCACGTTTTGACTTATAGTGGTTCTTAGATGGTGGTTGGAGGTAGTCAACAGGAAACCCTGGACCCAGGCTTCGTGCTACTTGGCACTCGTCAGCAAGGTGTACCTGTAATCTTGAGGGGACTGATGCTCCCTGGCGGATTCGATCTCGTGTCACCCAGCTTCACAATCAGAGACGTTACCACTGAGCTATCCGAGCACCAGTTCCCTCAAGATTACAGGTACACCTTGCTGACGAGTGCCAAGTAGCACGAAACCCGAGTCCAGGGTTTCCTGTTGACTACCTCCAATCACCATCTAATTTCAATACATAGTGCCCGCAATGTCGAATCACCTAGACTGGTGGCCACATTGCAACATGATCGATAGCATTCGATCTGCACTAATAAGAACTAGACAAGCATGACATTGATCACCACCCAGTGATCAATCAATTGTGATTATAATGGTTCTTCACCTGATGTCAATCTACGTTAAAATTATTTTGTCGCTAAACAGTTTAGAACTTTTCTCTTCACACATATAACCTTCATTCTCATTTAAAGCGATATGTGTTATCGTTTAACCCGGCAAAACTTAGTGTTGTGTATGTGCCTAATTTTTCTGTACATAACTAAATTCTAAGAACTTTTCCAAAGTAAACGTTTTAATCACCATTTTGAACAGCTTAAACCATGCGCGTCAAATTACATCTCTTATCCTGTAGCCCGTTTTCAAGAATATCTCAAGAGATTTTTAAAAATATTTGGCATTTCACATTGCATCAGCGTTAGTTTGAGCCACAGCTAACTTTCCATGTTTTCCTTGTCTCCTCAGCTGTTCGGGTTAGACATTTATTAGTAATAGCTAGAACAACATATGTTGTCGGCCTTTTTTTATTGTTTTAGGATTTCGAGTTGTGTCACGCGTAACACATCTTGAAATATATTTGTAGGGTAATAGTAGTTTATTAAACTGTTTGATAACATTCGACAATAAAGGAAGACCAGGCTTTTAAGGATAAACGACGCCGTTGAATTACAGCTAAACATAAGCCAATTTAAGATCCATCAACCGTTAAAATGACTTTGTAAATGTATCATATGTTTTTTTAAGTTATTGCTGTTATCTAAGTTAATCGAATTATCGTGCGTAGGTATATTTAAATTAATTTAATATCTTATTATACATTTATTCTACAGTTGAAGCAGATTCGTTTAACGAATAATACAAAAAATTCGTACTTGCTCTTTTTAACGTAGTTTTTATTCTCTGCCTATTATATGAATTATTCTTTCCTAGAATTCGCCAACGTCCGTTGAGTTTTATAAACCTTATAATCGTTGGACCAAGGGTCTTTTATCGGCTGCTAAATTTGTCGGTGCTAGTGCTAATGTCATGGTGTAAGTTGCCCTGTTATGCTGTATACTTCTAGTTTTCTTACTCAATCAAACTAAGCGAAACCTCGTTATTTATGCCTCTAATCTATGTTCACTTTTATTATCTAATTAGATTGTGCAAACAAATTTTGCTAATTAATTAACATTTTTTAAATAGATCCGAAATCTGTTTATCCGGTAAGAAATGTGTTATAATCAAGACATTTGAGATAGATCTAGGTAGCCTCTAGTTTTCTGACAACAGCCTTTTGGCAACTTAAAGTAGCTACTGAAATTATTGTTCATTTCTAATTAGATTAATTAAATTGCGGAATCATAACTTTTCAATATAGGATTTGACAATAAACCGTTTCAAAGTCCATCATAAATTAGCAGTGTATTATACCTTATATTGAAAGCGTAGTGAATAATCTTCTTCTGTAACCAGTAACATGTTATTTTCAGTTTAAGTGGAAATTATAAGTAATCAAAATTAACGTTAATATAAGGGAACTTCGTGAAGCTAAAATATTGATATTTCGAAAAAAGAAAGATTTCTGTATCCCATGAATTTAATTTGGGTACGCAGACTGTTCGATTCATAATATTCAATGTCATATTGTCCAGTCCTTAATCCTAATTGAATTCTGTCGGTTACCTTTTGGTACATCTGCTATGGTAATTAACTCGACATGATGATTTAAGTATTTTTTGGTTTCTGTAAATCATCAGTATGTCGTGAACCAGAGTTTCGTTCCAGTAAACGCTCATCAGCAAGGTATATTCAAAACTTTTAGGGAGCTGGCGATCCTTATGAGACTAGCCTAATTACCAGTTGCCGCGGTTCGTAGCGTTACCATTAAATAGTTAGGGATGTTTCTTACCTCGTATAAAATTAAAAAGCTTATACAATCAATGATCAATTAGTGGTAACCAATGTTTTATTTATTCGTTAATGATAATCGAGTTCTGCGTTATCAATTTGATTATGTCTTCAACTTACGTTTACCAAAACTAAACTGACATTGTCATTAACACTACTTTTAGTCTGTTTCACGATCGATTGGTTAAATAATGTGGGCATCTGATTTGAAACCATTCTACACGATCTAATCTAGACTTCTGAAATCCGTATTAAGAAAAGTTCAAGAGACATGGGTTACTGTTATATTTTCACATTAGCTTTTATACAGAACTTACGGTTTCTTATTACGTTATCTTTTCAATACTATGGTAACTTTACCACAATCAATAAAATTATTATGAAAAGTTGCGAATTCTCTAAAGAAAAATAATTTGTCTTTATTATAAGAGATTATCGAATCTCTGTCTAAAATGTTGTAATCAGTACTTTCGTCTACATCAGTCACTCTTCAATGATGATGGTGTTAATCACATAATACCCAACGTCCACTGAATTAAACAACTTCCTCAACGGTGTAGAATGCTCATTCACAATGAACTCCGGATTTTCTGTGGCGTTTATACTAGAATAGTAATTTTTCACTGCTTACTCTCTCAATGTTTATCATGAAACATCTTCATCATCATACTATTTATTTTCTATGAAGATGTTTAACTATCGTTTTTTTACATAAAAAATGTTTTTAAACAGTGAAATAGCTGATTCCATAGTTTGTGGAAAAGATGTAAAATTAGAACGCTTAATTGTAATTTCACAAGAGATAGCTGCTAGTACAACTCAATTGGTTTATGCTACTCGTGTAAAAACTACTTCACAATCTGAAATGTTCAATAAATTACAGTTAACTAGTAAAGAAATATGCAAGTGTACTGGAAATTTGATTGCATGTGTAAAAAAGGCAATTGAAGCAAAACATATAGAAGGTATGATTTTTTGAGTTTTTTTTACAAAATCTCACTTATATATTACATAACAGTTCCTGACAATTCTACCAAGAAAATTAGGTTAAATGAGGATACTACTGAAAACGGATACTAAAATTACATTAGGTGTTCAGATCATCAGTGATAGATGGTTTGATTTTCCAGTTTAAGGAAATCTAAGCTTCTGAATTAGTAATAAAATAAACAATAAATTATTTCAATAGTTGAGAGCATGAGTCTGTTGAAGCTAGACCACCATGTAAAACCTGGAAGCAAATAAATTATCTATAAAACTACAATCAAACAAATAAATTGGGAATTCTTAAAATGTTTATTTATTTATTTCATAGAACCTTAGCATTTGTAAATGAAACGTGATATTTTTTTGGTGAATCAAACTGATTGATATAAATTCTCTTAGTTAATATATAGATTGACAGAATCTTTAATGGTATTGACCGAATAAATATGTTTAAGATTATACGATCACAAATTTAAATCATCTGACAAGTTCATAAAATGCATTATGTAATGAATTTTCTGTTTTGTTCGGGATTAAAATTGCTCAAAAGTACATACTGTCAACTTACAGAATGTAAAAATTGCATTTCTTTTTGATGACATTTTGAGGGATTGTATGAAAATAAGTTCACAAGCCATCTTCCATTTGTGATTATCTCACAATAACGTTGGTGATTATACAACTTCTCCGGTTCTACTAGTCATGAATTCCTGTTATTCATAACGCTGAATACAAATAATAACGGTGCAACTTGGTAATCAGGTACCATTTCTAGTTCACGACTTTATTAAACAACTTTATGTCAGTTAGGATAGCCAGCTGATCTACATAGAACACATTGTAAAATCCCGAACTAAAATTTAAATGTCCTGTCCTTGAATCATTGAGTCACAAGTCTGTTGTCCCCTTGAATTAAATATTAGATGAGGTGAGAAAACAAAAGATTTTTCAAAGTTGTAGATACACATTTTTGTAAGATAGGATTAGTGAAAAATTTTAAATACACGCGATTCACAACTAAGTCATCCCAACCAATTAAAATACTGAACTGAGAAACCACCTTTTAGGCTGAATTCTTATCAGGGCAACAAATACTCAAGAGTCCCGAATATAAAATTTCCTATAGTTAGATATTTTAATGTACACATAGGGAATATTGCTTTTTAGATGTTATTTTATATTTTCTATAATACTGAATACATTTAAAATAGTTTTCTTGATAAATTTAGATAAGAAAATGAAAAGACAACGTTTATTAGAACTATGTTGTATATTACCACATATATTGTCTGTTGTCTGGTTTAATTAACAGTCCACAGTTCTAGCTTTTTAATAGTTCAACGAGACAGAAACAAGCAAACTGTTTAGGAATCTCTATCTACCATTGAAATGGTACTACAGCGTGTATTAATAGATTATCAGAATGATACGGATAACAGATAAGTAAGTGGGTTAATCTAGCGTTAATCTGTATTTTAGTCATTCATTATAGATCACCTGTTTATGTATTTAACTTATCATAAAAGCTTGGCACATTGTACCTGAAGAATTCTTCGATACATATTCGATGTATTGATATCAGATAAGCGTAGGATTTCAGAAACGAGAAGTTAAATAAATTAATCATCTATGTAACCAGAAACTTGGGTTTCTTATTAATATTGACTCTCAATAAACGAATGAATAATTATTCTAGCCTTTAACCTATTGAAGCAAATTCTAATTACTGATGTAATTCATAAAAATTAGTTTATGATATGGTTTGAATAAATACTCAGTATCCTACCTGCTGTAGTGAACGTAGACTTAGCAGGGGTGACAAATATATTGTGTAATTTAAAATTACAGAGTGCCTTCGTAAAATATGCAAGCTATACATGAAGTACATTATTTGCACATCTTGTTGGTTGTCCTTTACATGCTTCATGATTCTTTCAATTCTTTTGTTATTACAATTACTCTCTGTTAACATTCCTATTCTCTTCAATTCAATTTTCTCCATCTTTCGCTGGCAGGCATTCCATTAATGATTGATGTTACATACTACTTATATCTGTTAACATAGGTAGCATATACCATACTATTACTATAATTATAGCATATACTCTAAACCCATTTGCTTTCAGATTACTGATTCGAAATTGTTTTCATGTTAGATTCGACTTTTTCCTGAAATTTAAATAATCATTCTTTTGTTGATTCTATTACCATATTCTGCTCATACTGTTTATTTTTCTTTTAAAAATACTTTAGAACTTGATTTTAGTAGCCTTACACTAACTCAAGCAAAACGTATGGAAGTTGAATTACAAGTGAAAATTATTGAATTAGAAACATCGTTAACAAATGAACGACAACGTTTAGCTAAATTAAGAAGAGATAATTATCAGTTATCAGCTGAAGTAGAGGTAAATTATTGATGTTTTGTATTGTTTTAATAACTATTCTCTATAAATATAGTTAGATTTAAAATGTACTTAAAAGTACAAACTAAGAGTATAATTTCAAAGTACTGAGTCGTAGTGAGAGAATAGTCACATCAGTTATTATTGTTTACTAATTAAATGTTTATTTCATCACAGAGCATCTGTTTGAGTCATTCCAGATCAACTACAGTGAATCAAAAATTGATTCAAATAGTCATTTTACTTATGTTTATTTATGAAGAAAGTACAGTACAATCTAATCACATATTTATATTTTGCCTTATTGTTTTCTTTTGTATTACTGTCTGTCTGATATGATTTCTAGTACTATAGATATTTTACCAAATAATCTTGTGATCAGATTATTCCCTATGTATTGGACTAATATGTATCACACCGTCACCTTAACTTTATTATTATTGGATTGTCTACAAAAAGAATAATTTTATCCAGTAGGTTTTCATGTACTTGAGATCATCTGAATTACCGATCAAATACTTTTAGACGTATTGGAATCTCAGCATTCCTAAACTTTATTTCGAAACTAACCAGTCATATGAAAAAAATAGTCAAAGAAAGTAGATGTAAAGTCAAAATATGGTTTAGAACATCAGTGTTTTGTTTTTGTTTTTCTGTGATATTTATGATTCTGAAGCTAAGCAAAGCATTTGAGTTTCATTTCTTTCCATCTATAAATGATAACATTTGTGATAACATCTTACAGTAAATGGGGTAGTACTTTTTTTAAATGAAGTACTTATTAAATTAACACTCATAAGCTTTTAACTGGTCCTTTTATTGTTGAATAATCTCTGAGATATCTTTTTCTTCAATATTCAAATGATAACAACCAATGTTAGGTAAGGCAAGTGATTTGAAAAAACTCAAACATTGACAGGATTTAATTTGAAATAAAAACAGTTCGAATGGTATAGTAGATTTCTTCAGAAAAATTTCGGCTACTAATCTACTTTTCAATAATTTGCGTTTAATATGGCAAAAAGTTTGATTTCTTCACATTTCAATAATGCAATGAGAAGACTAAGGTTATCGGAATTATGTGGTTTATTTGTGTGATATATTTAAAACAATCTGATCACACATATAATTGTTAAGACATATAAAACGTCAACTAGACAAATTAAAAGGTGGGCGGAAACAAAGACAATGATAACGTGCACACAAGCAATGTGAAAACCACATTGGATAATAAATTAGTATTACCAAGGTATATTAAGAGTAAGAACAAATCGTTTTTGAACATATAAAGGGGGTTTCAGTTTTCGTATAGACAAGGCTTCAATAAACCTTAGTATACGCCCTTGAAAACTTTTGTACAAAACTACAAAGGCTGACTTGATATAAACCTTATGACCAGTCTCAATCAAATGTTCCGCAATGAAGGAAGATATTTTTCTATCCTATCATATTTGACCATTGAAATTAATCGGTTTTTTTGCAGTCAGTTAGGTACGTGTTCAGCTCTTCCTTTCATGTAAGATAAATATGCGTTGGACTTGTTTTGAGTGCTTATCACCTATAACTATGGTGTCATACACGTACCGCTTATACAAATACATCTTTTGAATTGAGTCTTCAACTAGTGTTTCCACATATCCCATAAACACATCAGCCAACAATTGTCCTAAAGGACTATCCATAGTTATGCCATCAATCTGTCGAAAATGCTCACCCTCAAGTGGATTTCACATTGTCAGCAAATAATAATAAATCTTTAAGAGATTTTACAGAAAATGTCAACGGGAGGGTATTTAATAACATATAGTCATACAAAATACTAAAAGGTACATTTGTAAATAAAGCGTTTACATCAAAAGAGCACATTGCTTTAGTTTTTGTATTGATGTCCATTAAGTATTTAATTAATCCAAATAAGCCTTTCAAAGAATACTCAAAAAATTGGCTTCGGATAAGGTTTAATACTTTTGTCAACCATTTTGCAAGATTATATGTAGGTGACCGACACATTGATAGAATTGGATGTATGGGGGTATTGGGAGTGTGGATTTTTGGTAGTCCATATAGATTAGGATACACCTAACCCATAGGTTTTAACAAATTATATTTCTCTTTGCTAACTGCATTCATGTTAAGCACTTTTATTAGGTTCGAGTTGCCTTTCCTCTCTAATTTACATAATCCACCAAAGTCAACATCAGTCATAAATTTGCTTTGATGACTGAGAATGAATTACATTTTATTTTTGTAATAGGACTTATTATAATGATACCTGACCCTTTATCAGGTTTTACCATAATAATATCAGCATTATATGTGTAGTCAGAATGTTTGAGGTGTACTGCGCAAATATATTGCATAATTCTGATAACCTTTGTCTTCTCATTGCATTATCGAAACTTATCGAAGGAAATAATTGTCTTATACTTCACATATATTAATTGCTTTATTTCCAAACAAAGTACATAATTATATTTTGAAAACACACAATGTTAATTATTCAGTTGTGAAAGAGCGATAACTTTTTTTAAAAATGGTTCCGAAGGCTGTTATAAACTTTCAGTAATGAAATCACCAACCCTACATACATGAAAATAATTTGCTATACCGCAAAAATTAGAGATATACGGTTGATTTGTTCGAAGATAAATGTTTTAACATTAGCTGGAAAATTAATGTCAGTGAAGCTCTGCAGAGAAGTGAATTTGACCTGTTTCCATCAGTAGGTGTAGAACCTAACTATATCGAATTATATCGTTCTGTGTAGCATGTAACACCTACCTCCTATAGGTACTTTTTGAAAATAAGTCAACTTTACTCTTTTACGCACATTCACTCAGGATGGTTATCCTATTGACATCAAGATGCTTATCAATTATTGTTAGGATTACTATTCCCTGACCTAGGAGGGATACACGTCATCGTCATCATCCCAGTTGGGGTATTATTACTTTATGTAAATACTTCACTTTGCTTTCGTTCTGCAAATTTACTTCACTGCACCTCCATTCTTTTAATTATCTTCATATTTTCTGTAACTGTTTTATTTCTCAATCAATCAATCTACTTACATGGTAGGATTTTTTGTTTGAAGTAATGACATGCATGAATGTGAATGACTAGCTTTTTTTTGAAAATTTAATTGTTATTACGTACGAATTGGGGTAAATAAAAGTTTTTGTTCAATAACATCAAGTGAATTGCTTAGACTAGTAAATCTTTTTTAGTGTGATCACCTTGGTTGTTACTTTTTTTGAAAAGAGATCCATTAATTTTCTTGCCAGAAAGTATGGGCGTTGTTTACATCACCATTATTCGTGATATGCTTATTTGATGTTTGTTAAAAGCATGATTTGTTTGTTCATTTTGTACATTACAGTAATACAGGGTTATATTGGCTGTCTGCTAGTCTAATTAGGTGATGAACAATTTTTGTAACCCGAGGATTACCCTAAAGATATTTTTACATTTGAAAACCAATACATCATTTGTAAAGCAACTTGAAACTAGCATGACGTATTCGAATTCTCAAGGTCTCTATTGACGTATATTCCTAATCCTATTTGATATTAGAACCAGAATCTTTCAGGTTATGAAGGATTTCAGAAAGCACATCAGTTTCAACTCTCTTTCCAGAAATGTTATCCTTGTTGTAAAGTAATTTGTTTATGCAAACGTCTAGTCAATATATGCGTATGCGCTAACCCATTTGTAAATAATTAGCAAATCTAGTTATAGAGTATATAAAATTTTTAATCATGTTTTTATTTTTATTTTATTCTGTCCAAATAAATTCTTTACATGGATTCACATGTCTGCCACTACCAGTTGATCAATGAGAGATAATGAAAAACTCCCAATGAAAATTTAACAAATAAAGTAGTCTACAAATCTACCTTCCAAATTAAATGTAAATAGATTTATTTCAACAGCTTATCTACCTACGTTATTATCATTAAAATTTGTTATCTTACTACTATTACCACTCCAGTAATCAGTTAATAATGCATACCTAAGTCTTTCATTATTCAAAATAACTCCCCCCCATTATTGTGTGTATCAACGGCACAAGGGAGAAAGACATAAAACCGTATATTTAACTTTGTACTTGATTTTCATCATTTTGTTATTGTATGATCTCATATTGATTATATTTAGTGATATGACAATTTTCTTTCTGCCTAGAGAATGGAAGAATGCTTTTTCTCTCGACTTCGTCCCGTTCTTTTTTCTCTTCCTTTCTTCTAGAAAAATAGAATAAATAAATGACTTGCCATACCTTTTTACTTATCTATTCATATTTGTTGTGCTCTTATTCCTCAAGCTTATTTGAAAATACTGATTTTTCACCCGTCGTAACACGTCTTGCGGGACTGCTGAACTTTCCCGGTTATTTTACAGCATGATAATATCTATTTGGATCGACAATATAGTATTGCGTGATTCCTTTCTGATTGAATGCTTATTATTACCATTATTATTATGCTAAACAACGATATAATTGCACTGACTAAATTATTTTAACAGCGCACCTTATCTATACTTTCAATTATGGATATGGATAACTCGAAGATTGGGATTAGTAATTAAAGAATATATTTCCTATGTTTTGGATACTAATTTCTCTGTAGTTATATTTGGATATTGATTTTGAAACAAAGATGGATCTGGTTGTATATTTTATAGCTCATCGGTAAATGGCGTTAGAACTAGTACAATGGAGACAAGTGTTTACGATGGATTCCATTTGTGTCAGCTAGATTTTGTAGTTTAGTTTTGAAGTGCTAACTCTATAACTTACAGGTTTCTAATATCAACTGTGTATTTCCCGATGGTTTTTAACAAGCGTAATTATCAACCTTACCAAACAATTAGACAAGCAGTGCTAGTTCTTTTTTTAACAAATAGTACAACTTTCTCCTGCCATCACTCTTCACTTTATCTCCCCTTTGGAAAATGGCTTTATATTTTGCCCGATGAAAGAGCATGTCTTTCTAACATGAAATGAGGTTGGGTTCTGCTAAACTAGAACCAAAGCTATTAAATCTGAACATCGTCTAGACATCAATTAATGACTTTGATCCCCCATTTACTGAAAGCGATGACAAACTCGTGAAGGGTTCGTTTTATTTTACTAATTAGCGAACTATCACTGTATATTATTTAAAATTGTTCCTTCAAACTATTACCAGTCAGTAACTTAAAACTGTTCAGTTTCGACAAAACTAATTATAACAATCTACCATGGGAAATGAATCTCTTGTGTTAAAGAATATGGATGTCTGGAACAATGACCCAGCAAGATGTCGATCTATAGAGGACAGTGTAACCATTTCACCACAACTTGAGTTTATCATTTGAATAAAAACAGCACTGGTCTGATGAATTCATTAGGAACTAAGTGTGGGTGAACCGGTATTGAGAATTGTACAGCTTTGATATTTTTTGAGATACAACAACGTTCTTCACTATCAAAAGTGAATGCCACATTTCCACTACTTTAAATTCAACAAAATCTAATTATTCATGAATATCACATTGTTCGGAAACCAAACTTAATCATTTTCAGTAACTAGTTTTGTACAAAATACCAAATACGTAGGAAGCAGCACCAGCTTAAGTACACTCTCACTGAACAGCAGTTACGGATTATTATTACAAGGTATTTTAAGACCTCAGTAAGGGATCTGTTAAAAACGACAAACTCAATGAGTCGTACCATCAGTCCTTGTGAAAGCTAGACAGGGTAAGTAAACAGTTAAGCTCGCAGGATACAGCAATATTTTACCAACATACGACAGTAAATACTAGGAAGTATGTGCTTTACGCGCATTTATCAGTGGTCAAAATAGACTTAGTTGGTTGGGGGTCAAACGAAAAGGTCCATTTTTTAAAATTTACATAAATCTAGTCTGACAGTAAAAGCTGACGGCAAGGACACCATCTTAACCTTTATCTCCTGTGACTCCGGTTTCAGCCTAACAAACTATCAAAACCAGCAACAATAAGATGAATACAAAAATGACTACCATCTCTGCCAGAATATTAGTTTTTTATGCACCTTACCTTGCACTTTGGGCATTCAGATGTTGTTCAAAATGTTTTTAGTGGCCCGTGGACCTGACTCCAATTAGATCGTACGAATGTTTGTAATTACCTAACCTCGTATACAATTATCGACTTAAATCACGTTAATCAATAACGGAATTTGGATAAGTCAATTAACGAGAATGGCCTTTGAATACATATATTTTGTATGTAAAGTGAATGTTATAGAACAAAGCAAAATGACGCGCAGGAGAGATGGCTGGTTAGCCAACTCATTTTTAGCCAGGCATTACTCAATATTTATAGACAGACAAAATAAAGCTACAGACATGGGATATGAAGTGTACACACATATACGCTCATATAAAAACAGTCAAGACTGATAATCAAATAATTAACAAAGTCAAAATATGACTCAAGTAGAATGAACATACTGGGCTGTCCGAAAGTTAGAATAAAGTATATGGGCTTATCATAATAACTGACACTACATGTTCATGTCAGTCAGCGGAATACTAAGCTAATCTAATATTAATATAATCTAATTTGAGGAATCTTTAATAACTTGAAAAAATAGTGATATGATTATTTGTAGACTGCAGAAGCAACTGGTTTTACTTGTCCCGTACAACCTTAACATGGAGTGATATTGTTCGATATGTGGTAAGACTGTAAGTTTGTTATGCACCGACCATAAATCCATCACTGATCTAAAAACTACGTCAAAATACTCCGAATTAGATGGGATTTGCATATCTGGCCAATAAGCACATTTGAAAATATTGAACTAGACAGTTGTTATAAGCTTTTCGACAACTAAATGCATGCATACAATTTGTGATGTGAACTACATTAGCCAAAATCATAATAAATTACTGAGTTGCATACTGTTACCCCACTCACAGTTATTTGTAACTGTAATCGACAACAAATAAAAAACCCGGGTTACTATGGGCTTTCTTCAACTTCGTGATACCTATCGGTTTATCCCAGTGAAAAACGAGGAAAACACCCATCATAAACAATTCCACAAGGCTTACATACAGATGCTTATAGACAACATTGACGACAACTGTAAGTTATCAAGCTCAAACTTCCTTTCATTCAAACTACGCAAAAAGCACGATGTCACTGAGACAGTTATATATTTATTTGAGCACATTGATATAAAAGGTCGCCAAATACATATGCGCCAATTGATTGTGTGTGGGCTGTGATAATGCTCAGGTGCCCAGACCGTAGTAGGTGGTTTTCTTAGGGGGGCCACATCCAGAGCATTCGACCTAAAGGTCTGATCCACAAGGCAGTGGAGCACTTTTAGGAGATGCAGTCCCGTGGTAGCCGGTGACCACTAATCAATTCATACGCCATTTGCTACCTCGGGATTGTGGAGCCCATGTGCACTATTGGTTTGGAATGAGGGTTTTCCGACTCCCCAAGGTGGATCCCCCATGTTCACCAACCCGGTTAAAGCGCCGGACATTCGCTTTTCGTCCTCTCAATTTCGTAAACAAGACCATCGCCTCGAGAAGACAGTGAGTAGGACTTCCCTAGCAGTGGCTGTGTACGCGTGACCATGTGAGAGCATTTCGAGAGGGAGAGCTAATTCCGCTCAACCTCAACTGTACAAGTACATTTGGGGGCCACTAAGATAGTGTACCCGTTAATCGTCAGAAGCAAAAATTCCAAAGCCCACCTGACCCACAGCAACGAAAACTATGATAATAATTTCACCTACTGTTTAGCCTGTTAATACCGACTTATTTGTTAATAACCTTAGTTCCTTTTTATTATAATACACAGTTCACATATTATTCGGGATCAGAATATATGGTAATATTTTTGTATTTCACCTGAGTATTTAAAGGACAAAGTGAACGGTCCTCAAGTGGATCGTATGCGATTCCAACATGATCAACTCGGAGAGGCCGAATTCACAAACACTGAGCAAAACTGCTCTCACCGACGCGTTGTAGATCTGACGTTTTACGGCCAAACTGACATCACGAAGGCGCCAAAGATGGCCCAGAATGGCAGTAGCTGCTCTGGCTCTCACTATACGTGGATTGATCTCATCACTCACGCCACCACCAGCACTTCTGCAGCTACCCAGATACGCGAACTTATCGACTACTTCTATCTGCTCACCATCCAGGGTGAGTACAGGATTGGAATCCTGCCAGTCTTGTAGAAGTACTTTGCACTTCGAAGGTGCAAAGCACATACCATACCTACGGACATTAATATGCCAACTGATTAAGTGCGGATTGCATGCCTTGGGCATTATCGCACAGTAAGACAATATCATCCGCATACTCAAGGTCGAGAAGTCTTCTCCAGGTAACAGATCCACACCACCATTACTTACATCCATCAGAGCTGTTTCCAGAATGTCATCGATGAGAAATTTGAAGAGGAATGGTGAGATTGGGCAACCCTGCCTAACCCCACTGCTCGAATGGAACAATGGAGAGAGGTGGTTGTGTGCCCTCACTTTGCCTGGTGTTTGTATATAGGGCTATTAGGATGTTAATAAACTTCTCAGGCACACCCTTCTTCAATAGACAATCCCAGAGAACAGTCCTATCCAACGAATCGAAGGCAGCCCTGATGTCAAGAAACACTACGATTGTTGGCCTTTGAAAAGTATGGCGGTGTTCTAACATTTGGCGGAGGGTGAAGATATGATCAATACATCCTCGACCAGAACGAAACCCAGCCTGCTCCTCGCGAGTCAATCTTTCTCGGGTTTTGAACAACCTACGAAGTATGATGGAAGCCAATAGCTTGGACGCAATCGGAAGTAGAGTTATCGCCCGATAGTTGTTACAGAAACCACGTGAACCCATTTTAAAGATAGGGACAACAATAGAGGGACGGAGAGCCCACCGCACTCTCGGCCATACCAGGGTATTTGGGAGTCCGTGTATGGTGCATTCACTGTCGCCCCTGCTATGTCAAAGCTAATATTTTAATAAACTGTTGATGCAAATCGCCTTAATGATATCGAACAACGAACACCCCACTAGGCATAACAAGTGGATTGGAGTAACAACTAATCTCAGAAACCAAGCAAAATAATAAATACTAACTTAAGAAGTTGGAAACAGCGAGGGGGATTCCTCTGGGGAACACGCTTTCGTAAATAGAAATGGAAATAGGTTTTAATGGTTCAAACAGTAGTTACGTTCTCCTAAGTGGACATCGTTTGAGGAAAAAAACATTCGGCACCCAAAAAATGACTATTAAAAAATATGAAACACTGTTGCAAACGACTGTAGTAATAGAACGTTAGTCAATAAACACATTTCCATGATGACAGAGAACGACACACACTTAACAATGAAATATTGACTAGTAATATGTACTGTAGCATTTCCAATTTAATTTAATTTGGCTTTAAATACACAGGGAGGTATCTTAACCTCAATGAAAGCGTAACAAATCGACATAATTTGCAACTACAGTTCACCAACAAAGTCAAGAAAATACTTTGCGTATTTTTTCATCATAAACAATATGTACAATGTATAAAAGAGCGGTTTAATCTTTCCGATCTCTTTTACGATGAGTAGTGTCACGATTACTGATATCTGTTCCTGAGGTACCTTCACCTGGGCGTTTTTCGGCCTTTTTGACTTTGGATAAGAATTTACTAAGATTGAAGGGATCTTCCTCGTCTCGCTCAAATTGAACTGGACCATCCAAACGACGTGAATGATCAGTTCCAGAAAATTCACGATCAGGAACAAAGCGTTTAGTCTTCTTAAGTGCATCAAGGTCTGTCCCATATGCATCAGTATCTTTTTGGCGTGGGCGGTATATATGGGTTACTAATTCAGAATCACCTCTCCATGGCTTATCATAAATGTTGTACAAATCATCCGCACCTAAAAAGAAGTAGACAGTTGATATGATTACTTACCTCCTTCAAAACCCGAGTCTAAACCTTTAGATTGATTGAAAAGTCTTTGATCGAATAAGCTCTCGCTTGTTGAGTTAAATCGCGGATTCGGAAGTCCAAGTGCAATTTGTTCACTGATGTCTCGCTCTTTGTCCTTTTCAATCTTAGCCTTGGCTTCATTGTTAGAACGAGCTAAATTTCTTTCTCTAGCACGGTCTCGTGCACGATCACGCCGTAATTCTTCTCGGTCAAGTAGTCCCGGATCATTGTCTCCACCTTCAATTGCGCCAGGACGACGAAGACCCGCTCGAGATTCGCGAGCCTGCTGAGCGATTCTTTGAAGTTGCTCCTCTTTTCGTTCCTTTTCTTTCTGAGCAACTTTTCTTTCAATTTGCGCTCTCATTTCTACAGCCTCACGAGCCTTTCTGTCGGCCGTATAAAGTGCTTCTGCTAGTTTTGCAAAGTTCTCATTAATATGAACAGTCTGAAGACCACGGCCATCTGCAGCAACCCGTTTGTCTAGCGGAATGGTATATCCCCTGGGATTCTTCCAATTTGAAATACATGGGGGGATTTTCCAGTCTTGTTGTTCTTTTACTGTAACTTTCCGTGCCGGAGAATGCATTAGAGGTGGTGGGGGAGAAGGGGGCCCGCGAGGGATCTTTTGGTTAATTCTGAAAAAACAAAACTTTGAATCAGCGGAACTTACTTAAACTTAGGAGGTTCCATGGGATCTTTCTGCATTTCCACCATTCTGACGAGGCGTTGTTTAGCTCCACTATTGAAGGCAGCACCTTGTTGTGATGGTGTATAACGTATATATTCAGCAGGATTTGTTTTTTCAGCTCGGCGTACAGGTGCCGCAGCAGCAACCTTCATTTCCACTAATGATTCTAGAGCTCTACGTGTTTTTTCCGTTGTCTAACAAAATCAACAAAAATAGAAAACCTACCTCTTCGATAGTCTCTTGACTTGGTTTGTCGAATTCTGGGTCGTCATCATCAATCGGTTTAGGTAGTAAGTCTGAAAACTTCGAATAGATGATCCTGTCTTTGCTGTGTCCTTGACGAACAAGTTCATCATATCTGATTCTTCCATCTTTATCAGTCTTGATAACCAAGGCATTCGATACATTTTTCTCCTGCCCCATCCCAAGAGGATATTGAGGGACATGTATTTCTGGGAACGCCCCTCCATCTAAAAAATCCTCCTGATTGCGTGGTACCCAGTTTTTTCGATGTCCGTACGGTGGGATGGTTGATTTTGCAACGAGGACTCGTGAACCCACGTTCAAGTTTAAAGCAGTTCCATAGTCATCTGAACCCTTTTGAATTGGAGCTGGGAGTTGTCTAAAAACACATTGAATGAAGTTCCGAAAACATGATTATCCTACGGTTAAGCTTTTCCAACCCCTTAGCAAACATATTAGTTTACGCGAACATTTTCTTGGAAGTATTCATGTACTTACAAACTACCTGGCATTAATGACTGAATCCGTAAGATTTATTAGCGAAACTTTTAAACATAACGGACACAATATGGTTGTAATGCGAGCACCATTGGGTAGTTATTTACTTGTTGGGGAGTGTAAAAGCACTGTGCAACTATTAATATCAAGCAATTCATACTTACAGATATAAAATCTCATTGCATACACTGAAATTACACAAAATTTCCGTTCTACATGGTTAGGGATATTCTTTGGGGAAACAATATATCTAACCCTGTAGGCTTAGCAGTCGAACAGCTCATCCGTGATATTTAAACTATAACAAGATAAAAATCCACAAAAAAACATGTTATTGATGGCAACGTACACAAGTACTTGCTTTGTTAAAGTCGATTTTGGAACTGTCCGAAGAAATATTTCTGCAGCTGAAGTGGTCCAGTAAATGTTATTTATAAGGACATTTGAAATATTACGTCAATATAGGCCGTGACTGCAACGTCAAGAACGTTGATATTTTGACCAATAGTTATCTACACTAACTGCAAACAACCAACTTCGTAATTTATGACGTAAATCACTGGAAGTTAAGCCACCATAACTAGGATTCGAACGAAACAAAAATGCAACCACTACGAGTATATATTAGCGTTATTTTACTTCCAGAACTATAAAGATCTCGGCCGCTCACAGGCTTTTGACTTACTAATTAAACAACACATTTTATGTATGCCTTTTTAGTTGGATAGGTAGACCAAGGCCTTCACTGACTTAAAACCTTCAACGTAATGAAGGTAGGCAGGCATCTGAGCAAACTTAGGTTATCAATATAAGACGGAATAATCGTGACTAAAAAAGAAATTCGAAACGACTGAAATTTTATGGCACTATACAAGTACGTACTTGCATGATTTGAACTGCTTTTTGTGAATAAGATCAGAGAATGCGGTTTTAGGAGAAACTACAGCTCTGAAAATCTCATGACATGAAACACATTAACGAAATAATCTGACAAGCAAATTTATGGGATACTACTTATGTTGATGAACGTCGGGAAAACCCGAACCTCGTGAAACAAACACTTTATGCGTCAGTCTGGAGTAACAGTCAGGCACTTATACTTCCTCGAAGAGGTTTCAGTTGTGTGGAACGGTAATAATTTACCAAAATCTGGACCTACCCAAGCAACGACATTATAGTCAAACAAGGCGGTGACTGAGTGTCAACGAGACTTAACAAAAGATTTTTCATCCAATTTTCAGTAAGGTAATAGACAATTTTGTTTGTTTTGGTTCTTGTAAATGACAGTACAAAATGGTATGACAGTTTCTGAGAACTGTATGTTTATTTATATCACTAGTGTGTATTTTTTAAATGTTCTCAAATGGTTCATATTATCCAAATGGTTCTGGATGGAATAGAAGAAGCTTTCGCTTAACAGCCTTCCGTATCTAGTAGCAGTGGATCACCGATACTTCTATGCAGGAACCTAGGTATATTACCGATAAAAGAGGAAAAAGAAAAAAGTTAGTAAGATACTGTCTGTAGTCTTTAAGAATATGTCAAGTTTTCTCTTTATAAGACTCCTGAGAAGTCACTTGTACTGGCTCAGCCGGCAGCGAATTTCAGTATTTGACTACTCTTAAGGAGTAAAAATTGTGTCTACATTCCGTTCTGCTGAGCTGTGTCTTCAGTTTCTGGATTTTATCTCTAAGGTTTGCGTTCGAACTAAGCTTAAGTTGGTGTTTAGTGGAATGCCCAAAAGTGTTAAGGATGCTGTAATCAATTAGGTCACCTGTAAGACACTTATACGCTGGTGAGTAAAGGTTCAGTGATCGAAGTCACTTTTCAAAAGACTTGAATTTGAGTCCCGAAACTGATTTTGTGACTCACCGTTGGATATGCTCTTAAGTGTCATTATCCTTTTAGATTGAGGGAGGAAATGCTATGTCTCTGTACTCTAAATGGGAAGGAATGAAACTGTTGAAGACTATGTGGAAAGTTCTTGTGTCGAACTGGTCGAAAATGCGCTTCAACGTTTCCAGTATAGAGTTTGCTCGAAAGGCATTTTCGTCGCAGTTAGCGTAAGACTTCAGACAACAGAATTCCAACACTCCTAGATTTTTTTAACTTGGGTTACTTCTGGAGGGGAGTCGCCTAAGTTGTAACTATGGTCTACATGTCTACATGTCTAAATGTCTACACTTTGAAGTGTTAACGGCAAGCCCATTATCATATGCCCAACCTTGAAATCCAGTTGGATCCTCCCGAAGTGCTAGTTTATCCTCTTGGTTGCATACTTTCCTCCAGAGTTTCATATCATTGGCGAAAAGCGGCAAATCTAACAATACCTGGTGTGGAAGGTCGTTTGTATAAGTCAAGAAAAGAAGAGGATCTAGTACTGAACTCTGAGGGAACCCATCAGGACATTCCATAGCCTGAGAAAAATAGAAGTTTAACCCTGACCTGAAAATCCCGATTTTTTAATATGAAAATAATCGGTCGATGAAAAGTGGTTTGATACCTAATCGTTTGAGCTTATTGATAAGACATACGTGGTATGTAACGTTAACCTTACCCTTGAGTTCAAGGATGATTGTTCATATGTCCACCTTAATCGGCAGGTTGGTTGTACAAGAGTGACGTTTACTGGAATAGCCGCACATGCCTTCGCATATCGGGGACTAGATAATTTTTGAAGGTATAGAGAGTAGTGCCACCGGTCGGTAGCTTGAAGGTCCTTTGAGTCGACCTCTTTTGAAAATTGGTGTGATATGAGCCAGCTTCCAAATTTCCGGTAATGTGTCTCGGTTTAACGAGTGTGAGAACATTGCACAAAGCGGTGTTGCCAGGATTGAGGTTGCTTCCCTCAATATAGCAGAATGGACTATATTCGGTCCAAAATGTGTCTTTTTCAGGTGGCACACTTTCCGGTACACCAAGCCAGAGCTCAGTCTCACTTGTGGGTGTCATGTGAAGTTGCTGGTGAAGCTTTCATCAATATAGTTAGTGCGGGTTGGTTGAAATGTTAGAGGGCACTGTTCTGTCAGAAAGTCAGAGGCGTCACCGTCGTTGTCGGTCGGGCCATTAGAACCCAGCAATTGAGAAACTCAGGTTTTGACTTGTCGAAGAGAGGTTGAATGACGGAACAAGCTTTTCTGATTGGCGACAAATTTATGAACAAGCTTTATCTGGTACTGAAGTTTGTCTTCTCTTATTGCCCTTATGCAACTGTTTCTTATTTGTTTGGATTGCTTATATGTACTGTTGTTACCAGTATGTATGTTTTCCGCCCAGCAGTACCTTTCGCGGCTTAGAAAACGAAGAGTGTGATTCTTGATGATTGTAGGTTGCTTGTAGATTTTGGGGATCGTTTGCCGAACAGACTGCTTTGTAGCACATAAGATCGTGTGCAGTAAGAAATCCCAATGAACATCCATACTAAGTTGATGGTGAACTTCCCAGTCCACCTGCTGTAAATTGTCCTGTAAGGCTGATACATTAAACCGTTCGGAATTCCAATGCCTGTAGAGGTAGGATGTCTTGGCTCAGTTTTCTTGATAAAACTGAGGGCTGTGATGGCGTGATCGCTATTCCTCAGGGGAGCTGAGATTGAGAGGTTGTCAACTAGGAATTCTTCGTTTGTAAATACCAAGTTTAGGCGTGACAGTGTCTGACTGTTTCTCCAAAGAGTTACTGACTTCACAGTTTCGAATAATCCCAGATCTTCAATGAGGTTGAAGAACCGAGCTTTAGTAGAGTTTCCACCTCTGATGTACGTATGTTCCGCGAAATTGACTTTAGGAAGGTTAAAGTCTCCTACAATCAGGATATGAGTGAATCCGAAATGAGTAGAGTGGGATAATCCTTCCAATATACGATTGCCGTACTCGTCCCCTAGATGACACAGGCTAGATACCTTGAGATGGTCCGTAAATTGAGAGGTTATCTATGTTTCACATATTTCTATCAGTAATGTGTTATTAGCACCACCGGATTCATACTGCTCATCCATTTTATTGGATAAACTCGCGACGTGCACCATGAAGTGCCTGATTAAACTCAGTTCCAACTCAAATCTTAGGAGTAACAGAGAAAGTAGAGTCACGATATAACAAAATGGACTGTAGACATCCGCTCTGATATGCAGGTACATCCAGCTGACGAGTTCGAAATGGGACGGAGAGCGCGTCCTTGATTCCACTGCTAGCCAATGTCCATCTTCGCTTATTAAGACCATTCTCTGGATCACCTTTATACATCTACGTTCACCAAATATTTGAAGGCAGTCTGAAACTCTGCCGGAGACGAGGAACCAGTCGTTTGCACATATGCTGCCGTCATGTCAAATTGGCCTCGTCTATTGAACGTTTCTAATACTTGTTGGACACCCACCAGTATTCGTGGGAATCCTGTACAAATTATTTTCAGATATAAAATTTATATCTAGAAGCTTGCTTTGAGAAAATACTCTTGGCTGCCCTTGAGACGACATTTTACCGCGGCACAGACGTCCACACACTTGAATCAATCCGTCCTTAGTCGCAGAACTTCAGTTTTTGTATTTGTCCTAAGACTTTCGAGCACTGTTGACTGGTGATTGGGCTCACTTTCCTCGGGGTCTGCAATATGAAAAAGAGTTGGCAAAAATATCCTTCTATTACCGGCCCCGACTCCAACATGTCGTTATATCTACGATCATCTTTCCGTAAATAGTTTGACATGCACCATAGCTGCTTAAAATCTTACTCTACTTCTGAGCAAAGATTCTTGTAGAGGACGTCGATGTAAAAACATTACTTGAGTGATTTGAAATTGACTTGTTCAACATTCAAAAATTGACAATGGCAGGATATTATTTCAGTGGGCAAAACTTCTGAAGCACCGCAGCTCAACAATTAGAAGATTCATTTTTTGCATTGCCATAGACTTTATAAAATCATTGCCTGTAAGTGATAATGTTAACTCTTGTGTCCCTGAAAAACTAATTGTTCCGTTTTTTCGTGTTAGTGTCGAACACTGAACTACTGTGTCTGGTTTTATAGTTGATTATGCTCCAAATGCAGGTTGGGTGTTACTGGATATTTTAAAACCATGAAATCGTTCAAACTTGCCAATCGTTAGGAGAATCTTGGAAACTCCTCCCTGACAACTTGACCCATTAATCACTGATCCATCACTCACTCTTAGGCGGCATAACGTTTTGGCCATACTAACGACAAACATGGAAAAACATGAAAAATGACGTTTAATTGGCACTACCAGTGTTTTTATGATACTGTAGGCCAAAATACTTCTGTAGATGTAAATTTATACACGCGCTTCATTCGAGACTCGACCACTTTAATAGTTCAGATCATGGGAATTAACGAACTACGTTGATCGATCAGAATTGGGGTTTATGGATATTGTGGTAATTTTTAAACAGTTGAACTTGTGAGTCAACTGAAACTAGACCACCTTGGAAAATCCGTTCCGCCCCAGTATGGGACCCTTCAACGTTGCTCGCGAGACCGAAGGTCCTAGGTTCGGGTCCCGCGTACAACGTGTGTGCATACTGCTGAGTAGTTCCACTGTAGAACGAAGAGGCCGTTCATTACTTCTAAGTTTTCCACGATGGTCTAGTTTTAATTGACTCATGAATTCAACTAACAAGTTGACTGAAATGAGAAACATTAAAATCAATATCCACTGGCAAAATGAGACCCCTTGATGTGGATTCGTGTATAGACGTGTATGAGTACGTTTCGTATGACACCAATATTTTCCTCTCTTTGAATACAATGTCACAAATGTCGGTGATTCATCTTCTTTAAACTGCGCTTAACTTTTCATTAGGGATAAGTTATTATTTATGATTATTTACCAATATATTTCTTTAGTTACCTTGCTTCTATCCCTGAGGTTTTTCTGTCGACAGTGAATTTTTCCAATAGGTCTTTTTATTCAAATGATGGTCATATTTCTTCCCGGGTTTCCATTAAAAATTGCAATTTAAGTTTTTCCATCTTTCTTGTATATATCACTTTTGTATATGGTGTCTAGAGAGAGATATATTAGAAAGCGTCCAAGAATTCTTACTGAACAGACGTAATTGTTTGCGTTGTCAAGAGTTCTGAGTAATGTTTCCAGGACAAGAATTACTACATCTGCGGTTTTCAAACTTACTTTTCCTATAATGAACTAAGTTAAATTATTCAGATCATAATCTTATTCTAGTA